CTTGATTTTTAAGATTATAGAGTCTTTCACACTACAATTTATTTTAGATTTTTATTGACTGAATGAGAGCACATATTATTGTCTTCGTAGGAGATTTCTACTGACGGCACTCAATCAACCTTATTGATAATACCATTCCGTTTCTGTATATAATTATTGATTAATTTAAATTATGTGACACAGACCAGATGGAATGTGCCTGTCGGTTCTTCCTTGCTTGTCTTGGCTTTTGTTTATTTAGCTGCTATAGTGTTTACCAAATAAATGCTTCTGGCTATAAATAATTTGATGTTTAAAATTTTTAAAAAAAGAAAGAAAGAATTCTCCAGGGAACCTACCAGCAGATTCTAACTCAGTAGGTCGGGAGCAGGCCCGCCGGCCATGATTTGCAGGCTCCTTAAGTGATTCATGTGTGCACCCCCAGTCGAGACACTGAACCAAAGAAATGAGACTCTGCACTTTTCAGACACCAAATAACTGCGCGGGAGAGCTTTGGGTGTGGTGAGTGTTGTGTGTGCGTGTGAACAGAAGTCATAGCAAAATCATGCCAGGTAGGAGGGGGCACACGGGAGACTGGCCGGCCCGGCGGGGGCGCCTCTCTTCCTTGTGCTTCTCATTGCTGCGGACCTGACCCTTCAGAGCTGGGACCGGGCGACCTGTTCGACGTGCCAGTTACTCTCTGAAGCTCAGGCCTCCCCCGCGTGCGGCATCTGGAGCAAGGCCGCTGGCGCACAGCCCTTCCTTTTTTGCTTTTGTGTTGCCCTGGAGCTGGCTGTGAGTCACAGTGTGACCTCACAGGCCACTCAGGACTGTGACCTCCGCTGTCCCTGTCCCAGCCGAGTGCTGTGCTCGAAAGGAGGGCTCCCGGGGCCTCCTGTCAGGTGCCTGGGGGCTCTGTCCCTGGCCACAGTCCCAGTGGGCACAGAGACCTACAGAGCCAAATGCCCTTCAGTTCCTCCCCCTCCTCTGTTCTTGCTCAGTGCTTTTGTTCGCTTCCCTTGGAGTTCCCAGCCCCATTTCTTTTCAGAAAGCACGGATAAGCCAAGCCCCAGAAAGCATCAGGGCTGTCTCCTAGTGGGGTTACAACTGCATCTCGCTAAGCAAACATCACCTCTGGCCAGAGGCCCCTGTGGTTGTCATGACAACGCGGATGGCTTCTGTCCTGGGGGCATGCTGCGCCCTCACTCTGGCGGCCCAGGGTCCTGTGCTCCAGCTCTCCTTCCAGATCTTTTCAACGGCCCTCGGCACCCCGGCGCCGCCTCACATGAACGATTCTCCTGTTCGGAGCAGCTTTGTCTTGCTCAGCACAAAAAGCGCTTGGCTTCCCTTTCCAAGGAGCGGATCAAGCTGTCTCTCCTCGACACCCTCCAGCCTCGGTCTCGCTCAAAGCCCACGTCCTTACCCTGCCCCACAAGGTCCTGGGTGGCCTGGGCTGGTTTCCTCCCTGGCCTCAGCTCCCACGACTCTTCCCGTCCTGTGTGTGTCACGTGCACGCGTGTGGGGCCGGTGGGGGTGGGGAAATGGGAAGGGGAGTTTTAGCAATCTCTCCTGCCCCAAGATCATGCCAGGCAGGAAAGGGCACACTGGCCTTCTCACCCTCTCCAGGTGCACCACAGACACACCTCAGGCCCTTTGCACTTGCTCCTGACTCTCCCCTGCATCTGACACACCGTTTTCTCTCTTCGTTCAGGTGTCTACTCAAATGCCCCTCCTCAGTGGCCCCCTGACTTCCTGCCTAACCTGACTGCCCTCCAGCCTGTGTCTAGCGTTCTCTTCCTTCACGGAAGCTTCCAGCCCTGGCATTCTAGCAGGGACCCGGGTTCTCAGTGGTTTCAAACTATGATGTCTGCCATCCCCAGCCGACCGCCCCTGGCACCGGAGCCGGCCCATGTCGACACGCACAACCATTTGCTATGTGGGTCCGTGAAGGGCCAGTCCTGGATTCAAAGCCTGGCTCTGCTCTTGGGTGGCATTGAACAAGCCGCCTGGCCACCCCGAGCCTTGGTCTCCTTGTCTGGAAAGTGGAGAGGATGGTGTCTGCCAGCTAGAGTCAGGACAGTAAGTTAGGGGCACAGTGAGTGGGGCCGAGGGCAGGCCCCGCACACGGGCGCTCAGCGATCCCCGTTCTCACGCAGCTGCGATCAGAGCGCCCTCCTTGACCTACACTCCTGGCCACCCTCAGCTCCCAGGGCACCTTAACTCCAGTCTGCCAGGGAAACCCGAAAGACACCCCAGAAAAAGACAGCCAGCCACGGGGCGCGGTGAGAGCCCCTCCTGCACGGGGCCCTGCTCTGGGGCTGGGGCGGCCAGCCCGTCTCAGCCTCGGTCCCACCCTCCGCTCTCCCCGCGGCCCCTAGGGACGGCCCCGTGCTGCCCGGGCCACCACTGGGGGGTGGCTGCAGGACGCCCAGCCGGTCACCACAGAGCAGGGCCTGCACTGAATTTCTCAGGGTTCCCTGGGTGTGGGGTCCAAATGTATTCAAAGGAAGGAGATTGACAGCTTTTCTTCTGAAGAGGCTGGGAGATACATTTGCCCATTTCTGGACCTGTTAAGAAAGGAAATATTCTGCCCCTTTCTAGTCCTACCATGACCAGTTTGATGTTAAGATACTTTCTTCAGCCCTGGCCGGTTTGGCTCAGTGGTTAGAGCGTCGGCCTGCGGTCCTGAGAGACCCGGGTTCGGTTCCCGCTAAGGGCGCGTACCTTGGTTGCAGTTTGTCCCTGGCCCTGGTCAGTTGTGCGGGTGGCAGCCACTCGATGTGTTCCTTTCACATCGATGTTTCTCTCTCTCTCTCTGTTTCTCTCTCTCCCTCCCACTCTACCTGAACAAAAAATGGAAAAATGTCCTCGGGTGAGAATAAAAAAAAAAAAAAGAAGATACTTTCTCCAGTTTCCGTGTCTGACATTTCTCAGAGGACAAGGGCCAGTGAGCACAGAGAACCCTCAGTGTGCCTGCCCGTGAGGTGTGAACAAGGGGCTGATGGACCAGCCCTGCCTCGGAGGGGCTCCCAGACAGGCTGGCTCATTAGGGCCAATAGAATGCGCAGTGTGGGTGCATTTTAGCCTGGAGTCTGCAGCTGGGAAGTGGAAGGTAGCTCAGTCACTCTACAAGTGACAGGTGTCACTTCACACAAGGGAGAGAAAGTAACAGGTACCTGGAAGATAAAGGATCCTAATCCGCTTAGCATATTTATCAAAGAGTCAGATAATGACAGAGACGCCGCCAAAGGGGGACAGGAAAGCGGCAGAATAAGGACCTCTCTGCAGGCGAAACCCCCAGTACACGGGACGCGCTGCATTCGGGATCAAAAGGACAATCACAGTGAAATAGGATGTGTTTTGACAACCCCTCATAAAAACATGAAAGTGTTTCGACTGACCTCAAGTTTAATCATGGCCGGTGACAAAGCGACAGGACCATGACAATGGCTAAGCTGCTGGAGCGCATCTGGGGACACTGCCTGGAATAAACATTTAGCTCTTTGGAACCAGCTCTGCCGCCTGTTAGCTGCGTGACCTTGGGTTATTCACAGTCCTCTCCGAGCCGAGTCGGACTGAAATGAGACGGTGACACCTTCCCTGCTCGGTTGTTTGAGAATTAGCGATACGGTGTGCAGAGTGCTTGGCGGAACCCGGTACAGAAGGCACGCGATAAACGGCCATGTTAGTATCCACCCACCCACTGCGGAAATGAAGCGTGTGGCATTTAACAGCTAGGGGAGCCTGGCCCCTCTCGGACCCGGCGTGTTATGTCCAGATTTAAGCTCTGTATGTAAGATCACTTCGGAACTGCCCCTGATCCCCTGGAAGAGGGCAGAGTCCTCCTGAGAGCAAAGCTCCAGACACACGTGGCAATTTGCTGCTGTTCTTGCTGTTAAGATATTTAAAGAACCATCGGAGGAGGAGGAGGACATGCTATGCTGTCCCAAAGATCCAAAGTCGAGGTGAAAGCAGTCAGTGTGGCAGGTCTCAGCTCAGAGCAGGAGGAAACAGCCACCCACCATGAAATGTGCTATCGTGCAAAGTAGTGAGCTCCCCGCCACTGGAATAAGTATTTAGGCAGAAAGCGAATGGCCATCCCTCAGAAATATTACAGAAGGAAAGTCTGAATCCAAGGCCCTTACAAGCAAACAAACTCATATCTGGATCCAGGTTCCTGAAGTCAGCCATGAGGCCTGGGGCGAGTTAACGTGCTTGGCCCTCAGTGCCCTTATCTGCAAAGTGGGACAGTAACACCTTAGATGAGAAGGATAAAGTCTGATCGAGTCCGAAAGCACCTGGCCCATGGTAGACTCTGCCCTGCAGGGAGCAAAGCAAGGCCTTCTTGAGGCTAACAGAGCAGGGCGGACACAGACGCCTCGGAGGATAAGCGACCTCACCCGCCGGCTAGGAGAGGACAGGCTCCAGACACGCAAGCTCTGCGGCGGTCGGCATGCGTGGGGACACGGCCCGCCCGAGGCCTTGCCGTGCTCCTGTACCCTGTCTTCTGGGCAGGGCATCTGAGTGTGGATTCTGGGTTAAGCAGCTTGGGAAGCCCTGCTTCAGAGGGAGTCAAAACCAGGAGGCTGGCGAAGTTGGCCCCTCAGCTGGTGCAGAGAAAGACGCGAGCAGGTTTAGTGGTGTCTTCTTGGGTTGCCAAGGGCTCTGTGTCCGAGAGTGGGGGGTGCTAGTTTGCACCTTCCCCGAGGACCCTGGGGCAAATGAGTGGGCTCAGCAGTCAAAGGTTAGTGGCGGTGTAAGGACGAAGTGTCTTCCCGTGACAGCGTCGGGCAGTGGGAGGGACGGCGGCCGAGCGGAACCACGGAGCCTCCTGGGGGCAGAGGTTGCCATCCAGAGGCCTGGGGGCTGCGGTGGGTTCCCACCCCCAGGTCCCAGAAGGAACACACAGGGTCTCCTTTCATCTTGGGGAGCACGCTGACTGCCACCGGCCCTAAACATCCCCCTTTTCCTCTTGCCTCCCTTCCGCGTTGAAGTAAGCCTCGAGCATCTCCCTTCTCCAGGTATCTCAGAAAACACGGCCGTGCCCTCGGTGCCAGACCTGCTGGAAGAGACCCTGCGGTCACAGCTGGAGGAGGAAAAGAGAAGGTGCCCGTTCTTTTCCACTTGCCCACCCTGCCCCCCTCCTCAGAGGGCTCCCAGGGCCGGCAGAGTGCCCGTGCCCCCCGGGCCTGCAGCCTCTCCGGGAAGTGGGTCCTAAAACAGCTGGAGAAGGTGTTCCTTTGAGCAGGCAGATGTGATGCAGGAACCCTGGGCAGGTGAGGTTGGCGTGGGGTGCAGAAGGAAGTGTCAGGAAGGGAGGGGTGTTTGATGCTGGTGCCCTCCCCCACCCAGTCCCAGGCTGAGGCTGTGGAAGCAACCAGGGTTGTCTACTGCTGCCATCTAGGGGAGGCCAGAAGTATGACCGCGGAGGTCGTCCGCCTGCCGCCTGACCACTTCCCTCCCCCGGCTCTTTATCTGTGAGGCGTCCTGAGAACATCATGCCCTCATGCAGCCATTTAGGTCCCCGCGTGATTTCAGTTACAGCGTGAGCATCAACAGACATGTGGCCATCACTGATACACAGCACGGTCACCACCTCACTTAACACTCCAGCCAAGCTTCTTAGCTCCTTCATTCACGTACGCGTTCTACAAATGTTTGTTCTCTCCTCCACGCTGTGGAGAGATTTGGGGGAGACCAAACAAGTCACCTCCTTGCCCTCGAGGTCCTAATGGTGTCAGTGGAACACAGGCCACCCTTGGCTGGCCGGGCATGCACCCTGAGCAAACCCTGCCCCTCCCCACACACACGCATACACGCACACCCCTGCCAACCTGAGACTTGAGAACAAGGTCCCATGATGGGCAGCCGATGGGCAGCGGGGCCTGAGCATTGCGCTGTGCCCTCCCTGCCAGCACGCTCCTTCAGAAAGCGTGCGCTGCCCTGGACAGTTGCTCTCCACCCCTGGGTGCATCCCCTGCCGTCCCCTTCTCCCTCGCTTCATTCATTTTTCTCGGTTCCAATCCACTCTTCTATGTCTTTACTGCACCCCATCTTGTCCCCTTGGTCCACACGTCCAACCTCAGGGTCACATCAGAGTCAGGTTGTCTCTGCGGATGGGCTGCTCATCGGCTCCCTGTTGGGCGACTTCTGCTCACTGGAGCATGCCAGCACCCACGCACACTGACGCCTGCGGCGTCACTGCAGGTCCTCGGCAGGAAGGTGAGCAACGGAATGGGAGGCAGTGGAGACGGCAGTTCTAGAGCCAGGCGGCCCGGGTTCCCACGACGGCTCCTCTCTGTTAGCCTGGTGCCACAGAGCAGGTCCCCGGACCCTCCACGCCGGAGGTTCCGAATCTGTGAGGCGGAGAGGATGCAAGCAGTGTCTGCTTCCCGGGGCTGTGCAGAGGAGTAAATGCACGTCTGTATGTCCCGTGCTCACCGCCAAGCGGCCCCTAGCAGGTGCTCAGGAAGGGTAGCTGTCACTCTTGGAGGCGGCTGTTCAGCTCACACACACAGGCCCACCGGCCTACTGGACAGAAACTGGATGGAAACCCTGGCGCTATGCTCTGGCCTCGGTGGGCAAGTTTAGGGTCCCAGTCCCTGTTACCCACTCAGCACAGTCCGGCTCCTGAGGCCCAGGTCCTGCAGCCAGCAGTGCCCCGCCAGAGACTTTTCAAGCTCTTCCCTGACCCGCTGCAGGTATAAAACCATGTTCACGCGCCTGAAGGCCCTGAAGGTGGAGATCGAGCACTTGCAGCTGCTCATGGACAAAGCCAAGGTGAAGCTGCAGAAGGAGTTTGAAGCCTGGTGGGCAGAGGAGGCCAGCAGCCTGCAGGTAGGGGTGGTGGCCGTGCCCCCGGCTGCCCTGGAACCATCCCTCTCCCGGGACCTGGGGAACAGCCAGGCAGCTTGGGAGGGGCCAGGGGAAGGAGTGGGGGGTGCAACCCACAGACTCAGGTGCTCTCAGCCCCGGGCTCAGGGAGCAAGTGCTCGTTTTAGCAACAAGGAAGCAAATGGTCTGGGCTCGTGGGTTCCTTGCTCTGGTGCCTGCCCCATGGAAAGGTGGGGGATGGTGGGGTAGCCCCCAAAACCGATGGATTTGCCACCGTTGCCTTGTGTGATGTTCTCCTGTGATATCATACTGACAACACTGATTGTTTTTTCTTATTACAACCATATCTATTGTAAACATTTTAGAAAATACAGAAAAACACAAAGGACTAATAATCAGCATAAATAATCCCACCACTGAAGGGTAACCAATATCACCATGTTGGATTTTATCATTTTATCTTTTTTCTATGCAGATATATTTATATGTTTTTATATAAATAGAATCATATTGGTCTTCAGGTATCACAAATGTGTTGTTGTTTTTTTACTTAATTATATAGCATGGCTACTCTTCTATATTACTATTTCTCCACCAGCAATCTAATGGCTGTCACTATTCCTTTATAGGAACTTATTTTAACCTCTTTAACTAATCTATTGTTTAATGTTTAGGCTGTTTCTAGTATTTCACTAAAGCATATTTATAGATAAACCTTTGCATATTTTCTAATCAAATTCTTAAAAGTTCTCTATCATATAATGAAGGCTAAAATAATCTTTTTTTTTATCCTCACCTGGGGACATTTTTCCATTTTTTGTTCGGATAGAGTGGGAGGGAGAGAGAGGAAAACATCGATGTGAAAGGGACACATCGAGTGGCTGCCACCCGCACGACCAACCAGGGCCGGGGATAAACTGCACCGAGGTACATGCCCTTAGCGGGAACCGAGCCCGGGTCTCTCTGGACTGCAGGCCGACGCTCTAACCGCGGAGCCACACCGGCCAGGGCTGCTAAGATGATCTGTAAGGATGTCAGCGCAGACTTGTCCACGCCCGGTTGCGGGTGTCCCCGTGCGCTCCCAGCTGTGGTGCGGGGAAGTGTCGCTTGCATGGCTGGCTGAGCCCTGGAGACAGTGGGACAGGACAGGGGAGCTGAGGGCCAAGGGTGTTTGCCCCAGTCAGGCCACAGGAACCAACATGTCACCAAGCAGCCGTGTGAGCCAACAACACAGAATATGTAAATACAAGTAAATACACAACACAACAAAGGAGACCAATAGACGGAAATACAGTTCTCAAAATAGTTGTTTTGTTTTGTTGTTTAATTTATTGTTGACAGTATTACAGATGTCCCCCACCCCCTTTGTTGTCCTCTGCCCAGCCCCTGCCCCACCAAAATATTGATGGAACAAAGTTATGATATAGTAATATGTACAGCATTTTACAAATGCATTAACAAATAAGATCTAGGAGCAGGCCCAATATTTACCATAATTGCAAAGTAATGATGACCATAAGGCTTCCTGATTCTGCAACTCTAACGCGAAATGAAAATCTCTGATTTGAACTGGTGATGAAGTCACCGGCACTGCTAATGGTGGCTTGTGGCTGACATTGATCACTGGAGAAATGCTAAATTTCAGGTAGAAGTTAAGAAAAACAAAGACATCACTGGTTCCCACCATGCTCACAGGGCCGCTGGGTTCTGTCTGTTCCTGGTGCGGCCATCAGCCTGGGAGGCGCCAGCCACGCCGGCACCCAGGAGCTCAGGCCCTGAACGGCGATGAGGGACCCCCCATGTGACTCAGGAAGGGTCCAGGTGGGGCCGACAGGGTCAGACAGGTGATGACTTACAAAGAGGGCGGAGCCAGAGGAGCCAAAGGTGGCAGCTCTGTGGGCCCTCTGTCCCGCAGGGTGTCGCGGGAACAAAAGGGATCAGGTGACAGGGACAGGGATGACGGGGACCCTGTTGCTGAGGAGCCGGTTCTGTGCTGCGGGCAGTTTTAGAGACTGCGATGGTCCCCAGTGGGACAAGGCAGAAAGCCTTGCACCGCGTCAGAGTGGGGGAGGCGGTGAGGAACCGTCCCGGGACCGTGTCCTGCGGAGACAGGGGGGCTAGTGGGAGCCCGCCCTGCGGCAGCGCCGTGCGCCCCCCCCCCCCCCGCACTCTCGTGCCCTGGGGGAGGCACCGGGCATTCTGCCAGGACACAGATAAGCTGCCGCCTCCACCTTGCCAGGAGCCGGTGTCAGGGCGCCCTGTGGGGCTGCTCCCCACGCCCAGTGCTCGGGGAGCCCTCCTGCCCCGCAGCCCTCTCCGCCAGCAGAGGCAGAACCGGAAAGGGCCTCGGGAGAACCCTCAGATCGCCCTGGAAACATTCCTTCCTAACTGCCGAAACTTCCACACACTCAGCTCGGAACACTTAGCCCAGGAGAGCACAGAGAACAAATCACACGAAGGTAACATTTTGCTGCCATCGCTGTAGTCGTTACCGTGTCTGGGTTATTTTTCCCACGTACGTCTTACACACCAACTCTTATGGCTAGTTTATTCCCCATGAGAACTAAACCGAGGACATCTCCCCGGGTCATCGGGTTCTGGCTAACAGTGAAGTCCTTCTTGGGCCAACAGGTGAGCTCGCCAGCAGGGGATTCGCTCAGGCACACGCCGTCTCTCCCCCCGAGGCCCCAGCTTCTCTCTAACAAAAGGTAAGAAGAGAACTCTGCTGAGGGGGTCGGGGTGCCGGGGGGTTCCCATCTGTCCTCACCCCGCTCTGCGTCTCTCACCGGCTGCAGGTCTGGGGGACCCATCACTCAACTGTTCAGTTACGGGTAGATGCCCAGGCCAGTGGCTTCCCGGCTCGCTTGTGCACACCGCCCCGGCCCTGCACCCTGAGCAGCCGGTGGGCAGCCAGCGGGAGGGGAGAGGGGGTGTTGGTGGCAGGGCAGAGGGCCGTCGCCTGCCAGGATGCGGGGAGCTCTGGTAGAAGGCTGTCCTGGCAGAGTGAGGACAGAGGTGGGCAGCCCCGGTGAGGGTGGCCTTCGCATGACGACAGCCCAGAGCCAGACCCTGCAGAGATGAGACGCCCCACACCCCGGGGGCAGAGCCGGTGCATGCACCTCGCCATCCTCCAGCCCCCGACGGGCAGAGCGGCCAGGCACAGGCCAGCGCCACCAAGGAGCGACCCTTTGACTGGGTTTGAGTAGGAACTGAGCTCTCTCGTTGGAAGGGGGTTGGGGAGGAGGGGGTGTCAGATCGTCCCCTTGATGTGATGTGGTGGGAATGGCACCCTGGTCTTCTTCTCAAAACCCACAACCCCAGCTGAGTCACGAGGAGAACATCCGCGAGTCCCCGTGGAGGCTCCCGGCGAGTGCTCCCGGACACCTGGCCGGCCCTCCTCCAAGCTGCCACGGTCCCCAACCCAGGAACAGTCTGAGGAGCTGCACAGACATGAGGAGCCCAAGCAGGTGCAACGACCAGGAGACCCGATGTGCTCCCCTGTGTGGCACCCGGGGTCGGAAAAGGCACATCAGGACAAAAACAGAGAAAATCCGAACAAAAGAAGGACTTTGCTTAATAATAATGTACGAGCCTGGCTCATTAGTTGTGAGATTTTACAATAAGGAAGGAAGACTGGGTGTAGGTACAAAGGAACTGTTTGTACTGTCTTTACAAATTTCTGTCATCTGCCCTGGCCGGTATGGCTCAGCAGTAAGAGCGCCGCCCGAGGACCAGAGAGTCCTGGGTTCGATTCCGGCCAAGGGCACATACCTTGGTTATGGTTCGACCCCGGCCCTGTTTGGGGTTGTGTCTCTCTCACATCGATGTTTCTCTCTCTCTCTCTTCCTTCCTCTCTCCCTCCAGCTCTATCTGAAGATTAATGTAAAAATGTTCTCAGGTGAGGATTAAATAAATAAATAAAACAAATTTCTGTCATCTGAAACTACCCTTCAAACAAACCACACTCCTGGCTCCTCGGCGGCCCCAGCCGGCCCGGGGCCAGCACGTCCACGTGTGTCGCAGGCTCCGGAGCATCTCCTGTGCGCACCCCAAGCCCAGCCAACACCTGCCAGAGCGTGTTCTGTTCGGCCAGCCTGGAGGTGTGAAAGGCAGGGCAGAGCCATAAAAACAACTTGACGTCGGACTTTACTTAAATTAATGTTGCTCTGCAAAGCCACTGTGAAGAGAGTGAAGAACCAAGTCACAGACGGGGGTAGGGGTGAATATTTGCAAAACACATTGGATAGAGGACTTGCATCCAAAACATGCAAAGAACTCTTAACACTGAACAATTGTGTTTACACGGGCAGAAGATCGAACAGTCTCCTCACCAAAGAAGACGTGCAGATGGTAAGATGCTCAATCTCACGTGCCCGTTGCAAGTACAATAACAATGAGAAACCACACACCTATTCCGATGGCTGAAATCCCGAGCGAAAAACAGACGAGAACAGCGGGGCTGGCGAGGCCGCGGAGCCCGGGAGCGCGCATCCTCCGCCCGTGGGCCTGCGAAATGGTGTGGCCACGCCGGAGAGCAGGTGGCAATTTTCACAAAACCAGATACCTCCACCGTGCGTTTCAGTAATCACGCTCCTGGGTGTGTACCCGGGAGCTGGAAGTGACGTCCACACAACGGCACGCACGTGGGAGTTTGGAGCGGCTGGGTTCCAAGGCCCAGGCCGGAGGCAGCCGAGGCGCCCTTCAAAGGTGGGTGATACACAGCTGTGGTGCGCCCCGACGCGGGATGTCACCCAGCGATGAAAAGAACTGAGCTGTCGAGACAGGAAAAGCCACGGAGGACCTGTAAATGCATGTTACCCGTGGAAGGAGCCACGCAGTAGCTGATTCCAACGTGACGTCCTTGAAAAGGCAGAACTATGGAGCCGGTGACAAGGCCGGTGGGTGCCGGGGTGGGGGCGGTGGGGGATGAGAAGGGGACATTGGGGGCGTCAAGGCAGTGCAGCCACGCTGCGGGACACTGGAGTGGTGGTTACGTGGTAGTGTGCATTTGCCGAAGCCCATGGAACCTGCACCAGCAAGAGCGCGCCCCCACGTGCGTGCTCACTGAGTGACAGCGTAGTGATGGCTCATCACTATAACAGATACGCCGCACCACGCTTGATGGCAGTAATAGGGGAAACTCGGTGCAGGTGTGGGGGGTGCTGGGAACTCTCTCTACTGCGTGCTCAATTTCCTGTGACCCTGGAACTTCCCTAGCAAACAGGCCATTGGGGAGGACGAGGAGGTAGCGGGCCGCCCAGCTCCTCTGCTCCGCGGGGGCGCAGCAGCTTAGCACCAGGGGCCACACAGGCCGCTCTGTGCTTTCTCCTGGGGCCCTGCCGACTTCCGGGGCACTGGAGTCTGCAACCCCTGCAAACCGGCCCTCTTCCCCACACAGGCCCCTCCCGAAACCCCAGGACTCCGTGGGGCATGTGTGTAAAAGACTGTCCCAGGCCAGCTGAGACGCCAGGGCTTCGCTCGTGCTCGGGCTCCGCTCTGAGCCCTCTGGGTCCGCCCCGTGAGGAAAGCCTCCTCCCAGTGGGAGGCTCCAGTCCCTGATGTCCCGCCTCTTTCTGACCTCGCCTAGCTCCCGCTGGTAGAACACCTGCCCGACACAGGAAGTCCGTCCCTAACTCTTCTCTTGTTTCACAGACAATGAAGTGTGTGTGTGTGTGTGTGTGTGTGTGTGTGTGATGACGGGGTGTCAGGAAGGGCCCATTAAACTCACTGTAGGGCTGTAAGGCAGAAGCAGCCATGCCTGCCAAGGGACATTCAGGACCTTGCATTTCAGATCACCAGGGAGCTTTTCCCAACCTGCCCCCAGGCTCTGCCCAAGCCCCTGTGACTGTGACGGCTGCTGGCAGGACCGTCTTTGGGGAGACGGCTCGCAGGTGGGCCCTGGGACCCGGTCGTCTGTGGTGACAGCCGGAGCTCCGGTCCGATCACTAACCTTCAGCAGAGAGCACCAAGTGTCCTGAGCCGTGTTTGTTAAGATGCCTCGACTGGAGGTGGTCAGTGCCCCCAAACTCCCTCCCACACAGTAGCTCAACACCCAAAGTTACAGGTGGCAAGGCCGCAGCAGGCAGGTGAGAAGGAGGTTCCTGCTGGAGATTGGGAAGGGGGAGGCTGAGGGGCGCCCCCTCTCCTGACAGAGGAATTCCCTGCCACCTGCTTTATCACGCGACCCGGAGAGCCGGCAGGGCTCCACCAGGGGTGAGGCGGAGGGGCCTGTCCCGGCACCGTGCACCTCACACGTTCTCCGTGAACATCAGCAGCGGAGGGTTAGCTACTGACACCCTTCAGTTCCCCAAGGAGACAGCATCGACTCTCTTCTCCTGCGGTACTAACATCCCCTGCCGTCTACCAAGGGCCCTCTGGGCCAGGCAGGGGACAGACAGACTGACGTGCTAGCGTTGTCCACCCCTGACAGGTGACGACTTGCTCAGGGTCGCCTGGCTAATAAGTGGGGAGACAGGATTGGAATCCAGGCCGGCCACACCCCTCCGCCCACGGCTCTCGGCACCTTCCATCACCATGAATGCCTGCCCTGCAGGGCACCAGTTCACTCTGCTGTTTAGCAGGTGGCACTTCCCTGCTGATACTCTGGACTGCGGCACACAGATGTGCTTGCTTCAAGCTTCCAAGCGCCAGCTCCTCCTGCCTGGGGCCCCCGCTCTCTCCGTGCGTCACAGTCTGATGGTCCCCGGGGGGCAGGGATTGCAGAGAGGAAGTCTGCGCTCCTGCGAAGGCCAGCCTGGACCGGAAAACCAGCAGTCCCGTCACTGGCCCTGAAATGAGCCCCCTCATTGCACCAATGAGCACGCTGAGGCCCAGGGAGGAATGTGATGTCTTAAACTCCGGTTAATAATGAAGAGTGACGGTGTCCTCACAACTCCTGACTCCGTGTTGAGTGGCTTCTCCCTTCCTCCCCGCCCCCTGCTCCCCCTCCTGCCTCCGTCCTCCTCAGCGTTACCCCTTCGCTCCCTCCCTTCCCCATTCTCTCTCCCACCGGCTCACTCTCTCTATTCCCACCCCGCCTGCCCTTGCTCCCTTTTCTCTCTTGTCTTCCTCCCTTCTCCCCCCGGCTCTGGGCCAAGGCTGTCTCTCCACTGCTTGTCCACGCGGCCCTGCCCGCGGCTCTCTGACAGAGTGCCGCCAGGGACCGGGTCTGCGAACGAGCGCCGGACAGGGTGCCCTGGCCATCCTTCGGAGACCAGCCGTGGAGCATGCTCCTGCCCCAGCACCCTCCTCGGCTGGGAAGTGGGGCCCACGCTGGCCGTGGGTTGCTGGGCATTCCCGTTTAAACTGGTCCCTCGATGGGCTTGCTAAGAAATCCTTAACCCTGAAGTTCGGAACCTTGGATTCACAGGTGCCCATCAGACCACATGGGTCACCGCACAGGGTCCCCCCGTTTAGACGCTCACAGGTGTGTGAGATCCTCCCCAGAGCTCTTTCCAGCAGCGGGCCCTCGGGCACGCCAGCTCCCTCTCTGGGATTCCCTCTCCTCCCTAAGACGCGTCCAGGTCCCCCCGACACCGTTGTCCTACGAGCAGACGGGTGTCCCGCTGGCTGCTCGCCCCTGGGCCCCAGTGCGGCTGTGCCGAGGGACTGGCAGGCGGGGCTGCTCGTCACTTCCCAATGATGCCCAGGGATAGCACTAAATGCACTACACTCCGAATGGCGACCCAGGAGGTCTAATTATTATGAATATTGCTTATTAATCCTTATTAAGAAAGATAATTAATTCTGATGCCTGGTATGTTCTCTCTAGAACAAATGTCAACATGAGAAATGAATTCAGTGTCAAAGGCTGGTTGGTCAGGAGAGGGGACAAAAGTAATTTGTAACATGACAGTTCAGAAACCAAGCTGTGGCATCTGGTCACACCGGAGCAGTCAGGGACCCGAGGAGGCTCTTCCCTCGGGAGCTCCTGCGCGAGGTGGTCAGGGCACCAGAACGGCCGTCTGGGCCTGCAGGGCATTCTGCGGAGGTGTAATCAGGAGCCCTCCTGCCCTGCCCTGAACCCTCTACCCCTTCCGCCCACTCCCAGCCCTCCCCACGTTGGCTCTTATGAACACTCCCTGGGATCTTAGAAAAGGTTCCACTGGGGAACCATTGAGTCAATGTTGCCTTTGTGGGACAATGACTTGATCTTGGAAGGTGTGTTACAGCTTCCAAAGGGACCTGGACTACAGAACGGAAAGCCCTTTCTCCTTCCCTCCTCTCCGCCTGCACAGAGAACTCACTCCTCCAGTAGAGCCCTGAGAATCGGCCCCTGTTCCCCAGAGAAAAGCATGCAGAGTCTGCCACCTTGTGGCTGCCTCGGGTCCTGCAGAAGCCCTCATCAAACATCTCCGCTCTCACTGGAGAGTCTCTCTGATGCTGGGAAATAAACATGGGGGGGAGGTCCCAGGCTCTCATTTCTGTTCCCGTTAGTTTGGCCACAGCCTTGAACCTGTGGAGGCAGGCCCAGGGTAAGAAGCCCTGCTGCAGAGAAGAGACGGGCGAGGGCTGAGGGCTGGAGCTGAGGAAGGGCTGTCGTCATGGGTGGGACAGCAGGGTGTCAGCCTGTGGAGTGCCGTGACTTGTGGCGCAGACTTGGCAAAGCCACTGCACCTGGCTCTCACCCTGGCCTACCTCGGCCTGAGTGTTCTCATCTACAACGGAGGGTTCTGCCCAGGTGGCTGTTCAGGCCTCTTCCAGCTCTGACGTGCTGTCTAAGCAGGACCATCCCAAAGCAAGGCTCCCTTCTGCCTCTGGCATCTGGCACAACTTTGGCCGCTGGCCCTTTATTTCCCAAGGGGTGCTTCTGGGTTCTGTTTGCAACCAAGAATCCAAGGCAAGGCCCATGCACCAGGCAGCCTAGTAAAAGAAGCAAAATTGCATCTGCACGAGCTGTTGGATCTGACTCTTCACTCAGGAAGCACAGCACTGGTCAGCTGGGGCCACCCAAGGGCAGTTGGTGGGCCAGGGATAAGCACACGTGTCCCGTGTGCTCCGCAGAGCACCGGAGTCGGGTCCAGTTAAAGCGCCATGGCTGACAGCACGGATCCGAAGCCTTCCAGAGTCATGATTAGCTCCACTTACCAGCCGGGTAACTTTTAGAATCTCTATAACTTCTCTAAACCTCAGTTTTCTCGTGTATATAATCGGGATAATGAGGCTATTGAGAGGATGAAATGGCATGTTTGCAGAGCGCTTTCCCAGGACCTGGTGTACAGACAGTGTCAATAAAGGACATTTGTGATCTTTGTTTTTTTGTGAAATTTGCATATCCAACACATGCAATGCTCAACATGAAAAGTTATGTATAAACCATCTGTTATGGACGGAATGTTTGTAACCCCCCCCTCAATGTGATGGTATTTGGGGGTGATTAGATCGTGAGGGTGGCGTCCTCATGGGTGAGACCAGCGCCGTTATAAGAGGAGGTGAAGGAGAGAGTAGCTCACGCGTCCCGTGGAAGGACACGATGAGAAGCCAGCGGTCAAACCAGAGGAGAGTCCTCGCCAGAGGCCGGCCATGCTGGCCTCTGATCCTGGGCTCCAGCCTCCAGAACCGTGAGAAGCGAAAGTGCACTGTTACCAGCCGCCCCGTCTGTGGTTCTTAGTTCGAGCAGCCTGACCTGGCTCGGGCAGAAATTGGTACCAGCAGTGGGGTGCTGCTGTAACAAACACCAAAAACTGCAGAAGCAGCTTTGGAACCAGGTGATGGGGAGAGGCCAGAGGCTTTGAGGTACAGGCTAGCAGGAGCCGAGATGGTCGTAAAGGGACTTCTAAAGGCAGTTCTGGGGAGGGGTCAGGATGGAAAGAGGAGAGCTGTGGGAAGCCTCCGTCTCCTTAGAGCAGACGTGAATCATCAGTACCGCGTGTTGATAGAAACTGGAGGGCAAGGCCGCGCTGCTGAGGCCTCAGACAGAGCTGAGGAGCATGCTATGGGACAAGGAGGAGAAGGCAGGCCTGTAACAAGGTGGCAGAGGCCGTGGCTGAATAGCGTTCGTGTTCCCGTGCTTTGTGGGAGGCCGGACCTACCTGTGAGGAGATTGGACGTCAGCCGAGGAGATTTCTAAGCAAAGTGTTAAAGGAACAGCTTGGCCCCTCCTGGCTGCTCGTAGTAAAGTATAAGAGACTAATGACTTGAAGGTGACATTATTAAGCAAAAGAGAACTAGAATGTACAGATTTGGAGAATCCTCAGCCTATCCATATGGCAAAAAATAAGAGCGTGTCTTCACAAGAGAACACCCAGGGCGCGGCCCAGTGGCGCCAGGCGGGGAGTGTGGGTGTGAAGGTGGCCCGCCCCCCGCCCAGCAGGAGAGAGGAGCAGCAGGAAGGATTGAAGGCGGCTGTTGGGCTTCTTGGATTTTACCGGATGGGACAGAGAGCTGGTGTGCTGTCAGGGATGCTGCTCTTCAAGGCAAGAGGAGAGTGAACCCAGAGGCAAGTCGGAGATGGTCAGGGCTGCCCCTCCATTTCAATTTGTTCCAATAGTTGTTATTGATTTCTAGAGAGAGAGGAAGGGAGAGGGAGAGAGAGATAGAAACATCGAAGAGAGTGAAACATCAATTGGCCGCCTCCTGCATGCCCCCCACTGGGGATTGAGCCCGAAACCTGGGCATGTGCCCTGACCAGGAATTGAACTGATGACCTCTTGGTGCAGGGTCCATGCTCAACTACTCAGGCACACTGGCCGGGCTGCCCTCCATTTCAAAGGGAAGGACCACTGACTTGCTTTCAATAGGCCAGACAGCCTCTGCCCCAAGCTGTGCGGTTGGGGCCACCCAGCAGAACCCAGAGGGCATGACCCCTGCCCAGCAGAGCCTGGCAGACCTTCACCCCAGTGGGTCCAGAAGGTGGAAACTTAGCCCTAGTGGGTCTAAAGGGCCAAAGAGGATTATTCTTGTTGAGCCTTAAGATCTCCTGGAGTTTGCCTTGCTAGGATTCAGACTCCCTGGGGACCCATCACCCTTTTCTATGTCCTGTTCTCCCTTCTAGAATGGGGGTGTCTACCCTGTGCCAGGCCCCGCACTGTATTTTAGAAGCACGCGGATTCGCAGGTTCGCAGCTGGAGGGCGATTTTGCTTCAGGGGGAATCAAGGATACCTCGCATCTCACCCATCTCTGATTAAATATTTAGATGAGACTTTGTGCTGCAGGCTTAGAGTTGATGCAGAAATAACTTAAGATTTGGGGGCGGGGGGAGGTGGTGGAATTAATGTAGTTTGAGAAGGACATGTGTTCTGAGGGGGCCAAGGGTGGAATGTTGTGGACGGACTGTGTTCTCCAAAAGTGTGTATGTTGAAGCCGAACCCCCAGGGTGATGGCATTTGGAGGTGATTAGGTCACGAGGGTGGGGGCCTTATGAATGGGGTTAGCGTCCTTCTAAGAGTCCAGGAAGCTCGCTCACTCTTCCCACCTGTGAGGACGCTGCGTCGGCCGCACTGGCACCCCGAGCTCAGACGTCGGCCTCCGGAGCTGGGAGGACTCAGTCCCTGTGGTCTAAGCCCCACTGAACGGAGACATTCCCAGCAGGGTTTTCCTGGCCCCTGGCTCAGCCAGCTCAGGCCGCCATGACAAAACACCGGAGACTGGGCCACTTACACTTCAGACACGGATCTATTCCTCACAGCTCCGGAGGCTGAGGAGACCCAAGGGCAAGAGAATCAGAGTCTGGGGAGACCCGGCTCCGGGCCTGCTGAGGGCCGCCGTCTTGCTGTGTCTGCTCATGGTGGGGAGCTCTGGTCTCTCTTCGTCTTCCTGTAAGGACCCCAATCCCATCATGGGGGCCCCGTCCTCTTAATTTCACCTAAACCGAATTACCTCCCAAAGACCCACCTCCAAACACCGTCATACTGAGGGGAGAGCTCAGTACATGAACTTTGAGAGGCACATTCAGGCCACGCTGCTCCTAAATATAGACCCTGGATTTCGCTTTGGTAAGCCCCTCCCATGCCTTCTCCTTTGTGGGTTTGGTTTTACAGTGATGTGCGTGCCAGGAAAATCCTGCCCTCGCCTGGCCCCGTCCTGCCCAGCTGGGAGCAGACCAGCCCTCGAGCCTCCCTGGACGACAGGTCTGTGGTCTTCTCCCCCCTGACGCCCGTGACAGCCCTGTGTGCACACTGGGTCGAACTCGGCAGGCTGCTTCCCCACCACACAGACCACTAGCCCCACGGCACCGTCCCCAGCAGGGAAGGACCCCAGCTGGCCTCAGTCCTGTGACCTTCATTCCAGGCGGGACCAAGTGGCTCAGGCCTCTCCCCAGCGCCCGCTCGTTGTGCCCCCTGAGCAGAAGGCCTGCACACCCTTCTTCACCTGGCAGACTCTCCCTTCTTCCAGGGTGTCCCTGGGAAGCCCCCCACCCGCCCCAGCACCGCCCCCGCCCCCTGCTGAGGCTCTGCTTTAGCACCTCTGGCTGAGTTGCAGCCCGAATGCTGACCCAAGAAACGCTTGTGATGAACAACACTGCGTGCAGTACAGACAACCCCCAGGGCCCCTAAGGGAGCGGACACTGGCCCTGCTGTGTGGGGGGTGGGGTGGGGAAGGAAGTGGGGGGGGGGGCCAGGAGAGTACATTGCTCTGAATTTTCTCACTGGGCTTTTATATGTAGGAGTTGGATGGGAAAAGAGGAGGGAGAAGGCCACATAGGTCCCTCCCTTTCTAAGGGGATTTCTGCGCTCCTTACAAATCTCATTGGCCCAAACCTGGTCACCTGGCCACACGTAGCTGCAAAGGGACCTGGGAAATGTAGTGTTTAGCTGTGGCAGCTTCCTTAGCTCAATATTATGGTTTTGTTTATGGTGGGGGGGTAGTTATCTCTGCCTCAGGAGCCACTAACTAAGCCTTGGTGGGGATAGAGACACACTGGGGAGACATCTAGGGCATAGGACATCAAATTGGGTGCTGAAGGACATAGGTCCCAGGCCAAATGGGCTTGGATGGGGTAAGTTGGGGATCAAGGGAAGAGAAGGTGATGCAGAGGACATGGAGAAGGTGGTGAGGACATGACACGTTTGCATGTAGACGTTTGCATGTAGCACAGATAAGGGGGGGGGGGTGAAGGAGGCGAACTCATCCTCATAGCTTTCTGGGTGACATCGAGTCACTGAAAATGGAAAAGCACTTTGGGAAGGTCAGTGCTGAGTCCAAACACAAGGTGTGACATGTCATTGTCCCCAGCATCCCTGAGAGGCCGACCTCAACCATCCCTCTCACCGGAGACAGCCAGACGGATTCCGACATCCTGGCATTCATCAAGGCCAGACAGAACGTCCTGCAGAAGAAGTGTAAGTGCACTTCCTCCAGGGCACAGGGCACCCGCACTGGGGGAGGGGAGGGGAGGCTGGGGGAGCACCTGGGGGAGGGGAGGGAAGGCTGGGAGAGTACCTGGGGGAGGGGAGGGGAAGGCTGGGGGGAGCACCTGGGGAGGGGAAGGCTGGGGGAGCACCTGGGGGAGGGGAGGGGAAGGCTGGGGGGAGCACCTGGGGAGGGGAAGGCTGGGGGAGCACCTGGGGGAGGGGAGGGAAGGCTGGGGGGAGCACCTGGGGAGGGGAAGGCTGGGGGAGCACCTGGGGGAGGGGAGGGAAGGCTGGGGGAGCACCTGGGGGAGGGGAGGAAAGGCTGGGGGAGCACCTGGGGGAGGGGAGGGAAGGCTGGGGGAGCACCTGGGGGAGGGGAGGGAAGGCTGGGGGAGCATCTGGGGAGGGGAGGGAAGGCTGGGGGAGCACCTGGGGGAGGGGAGGGAAGGCTGGGGGAGCACCTGGGGGAGGGGAGGGAAGGCTGGGGGAGCACCTGGGGGAGGGGAGGGAAGGCTGGGGGAGCACCTGGGGGAGGGGAGGGGAAGGCTGGGGGAGCACCTGGGGGAGGGGAGGGGAAGGCTGGGGGAGCACCTGGGGGAGGGGAGGGGAAGGCTGGGGGAGGGGAGGGGAAGGAAGCAGGAAGCTTTCTCCATGTCCCTGAAGCCACGGGCCTGGCCTTGAGCTCCCTCCCACGTGCCTGGCCTCTGCATCCTCCTGGAAAAAGTCTCGAGAGCAGCCTCAGAAACCCCAAGACAGGCCAAGAGGGTGCGGCCCAGGTGTCCCCCGCTTGGCAAAGCCTGACTCCCCCTTCCTGGCCGTCAGCCCCTTGTTCTCTGTCCCCAGAGCCAGCTCTCCTTGGCTCAGGCCTGGCCACATAGAAGGGGCTGAGCGGGCTTTGGTGACCTGCGGACTCCCTGGCTAGGACGACCACCCTCCTCCAGAGCGTGGTTCTCCGGGAACTGTCGACATCAACGTCAGGCGAAGGCCGTGCCTGAGGACACCGTGACAGTGATAAGAGCAATGTGTGTGGCGTGTCAGACCGCAGGAGGGGAAAGAGAGGGCCCTTCCCGACTTCCTCGCTGACCGACCCCACTTCCTCTCAGCAGCTGCCCACCGGCCGCCTCTCCTGCCTCCCTCCCAGAGACCCACCGGGCGAGCCCAGGCCCTTCCCCAGTGTCCAGTCCTGGCCTCAGCCCAGCAGCGAGGCTGCCAGGCAGGCCTGCAGAGCTTCCGTGTCCGCGGGCTCCTTGAGGACGAACGGCAGACCCCCGCCCTGAGGGGCCGACGCTCAGCTTCCTGGCCGACTCTGCCCTGTGGGAGGATTGCACATGGCGGGCACCCCAAACAAAGGGGGTCCGTCGCCACGTCCTCACCAGTAGCGAGCAGCTCCCCCTGGGACGCCAGCCTGCATTCGGTCCTCCCTGCACCACCAGGATCGGCAGCGGCAGCACCTTGTCAGGCCCTGTCTGAGACCCGACAGTCCAGCTCCGTCACCAGCCTGCTGTGACGTCGTGACCACACAGCTTGCTTTCTCTCATCCTCCGTTTTCTCTTCCAAAAACAAAAAGGAGAAAATAGATTTGGATCCGGGTGATCTCCAAGGCCCCATCTATTCCCCAAATAACAGTGACAGCTATCAGACACGGAGAGTTCTGCCCGGCCCATCGGGGACTGATTCCTGTATTCTCTGGGCATCTCGGGAGGCGGGCACGGTGCCAGGGCTGGGCCACTGCAGTGGGCGGGACTGTGCCTCCGACGTTCCCGGGGGAGGGGAGGCCCAGCGAACACGTCCAGTGACGTACACGATCACTCGAGGTGCTGATGAGTGAGGGCTACGGAACAGCCGAGGTGTGTGATGTGAGAGCGACGGGAAGACGGCTTTTCGCTGCGGGGGTGCGGTGGGGGGCTCCCAGGAGAAGAGAACTCATGGCTGGACAAGGCCGTGAGGTGCTCTGTGGGTGAGCCGCCTGGGCAGAAAACGCAGACAGTGACCTCCCAGAAGGGAAGGAGCCTCGCTTGGTCACAGGATGGAAAGGAGGCCGGACGCGGCTGGAGGGCTGAGCGAGGCCACAGGGCCAGACCACACGCTCCTGTTCCAGTGGGGACTCCGCGAAGGATGCAAACCGTGGCAGGTGGTGATGTGGTTGCGGCTTTGGGAAGCTCACTCCGGCTGTCGTGTGCAGTGTGGGTCCTAGAGGACCAGGAGGACACAATCGTCAGGCTCCGAAGGTCCAGGCAGGGTGAGGCCACCGGGACCTACCATGGAACTGGATGTGAGATGTGGGGGGGGCAGCACCAGGAGGCCGGGCTCTGCTGTGAGCAGCTCACAGGACGGCGGTGCGTCCCCTGAAACGAGAGCGCAGGGAGGGGTGGACACGAGGGGGAAGGACCTGGAGGGCTTCAGGGTTCTGGTTGGCCCATTCAGATGCCATGTGAGAGCCCAGAGGAGATGTCAAGAAGGCAGCTGAACTTGAGTCTGGAGCTCAGCGGGGCGGTGTGGATGGTGTGGGAAAACCGGCCCCTGGCCACGGTGACATTCGGAGGCAGCGGGGAGGCGCAGCAAAGACAGAGAGGGCTCAGCCAGGACGAGTGGCCTTGGGCAGGTCTGCAGGACAACTGTTCCCAGGGAGGCAGGCCGCTGGAGCCAGTGCTGCTGAGAGGGTGCGTCTGCAAGGCTAAACGTGACCACAGGCCCTTTGCACATCCTGGGATCCTGGACAAGCGCCTTTCCAGGCTGGGACCGGGAGAATGAAAGCCACTGTGGTGGCCGTGGGGGTGGGAGGCAGGGGAGGAGAGGAAACAGAGACAGTGAGTGGGACCACTATTCGGGGGAGTCTACCTGTGAAGAGAGGAGAGAGATGAGGCTGCAGCTAAAGGAGGGGGCACAGGGGGAAGGGCTTTTGTTTTTTGTTTCTGTTTTAATTTTTTTTTTCTTTATTGATTTTAGAGAGAGAGGAAGGGAGAGGGAGAGAGAAATAGAAATATCGATGAGAAAGAACATCGACTGGCCGCCTCCTGCATGCCCCCACTGGGGATTGGGCCCACAACCTGGGCATGTGCCCTGACCGGGAATCGAACCAGCGGCCTCTTGGTGCATGGATCCATGCTCAACCACTGAGCCACACCGGCCAGGCATTGTTTTTGTTTTAAAGATTACCCGGACATTTAAACACTGAAAGGGATGGTCCAGGAGAACAAAGGAAATGGGTGATGTGGGAAAGAGGACCGGACCTGCAGAAGATTCCTTGAGCAGGAACAGGCTATGGTGTCCGGGCCACAGTGGAGCAAGAGGTCGGCTTTGGGGACAGGAGGGCCCCTCCCCAGAACGACATAGAAACCGACTCATTTCTCCCGCCAAGAAGTCCACCCGTGAGCAGGGAAGTCACGTTTACTCGGCCTTGGTACACGTGATAGAGACCTTTTCACCCAACCCTCGCGACGAGAAGAAGCATGAACCCCAGGTCTGTGCCAGGATGGCATCTTCCGGCAACACGATGCCCAGATGGTGCTGAACGCTGGGCTGAAGCGTGGGACACTGCCATTCAGACGTGCGCGGCACCTTACCGGTCACGCACTTTTTATTGATATTATTTTACTTGATGCTTTCAACACTCCTGTGAGGTAGACAGAGCCGAGAGTACGGTCCCCCTTGGGCAGGCGAGGAAACTGAGGCATGCAGACACTGAACAACTTGGCCAACAAATGAAATGCAGAGCCAGGGGCGCCGGCTTCTGCGCACTCTGCACCGCGCCCGCGCCTGGGGCCGCCTCCGCTGGCCGGTCCGCCGCCTCCGCCCTCCCTGCAGCCCGGAGCTCTGCTCTCCAGACAGCAGCCTGGAAGCCATTCATCAAAACAAACAAGTTCCAGGGTTCAGTTTCCATTCTGAAGGGAAGGAAAACAACCCTGGGCTCTCAGTGACCACGGGCCTGGGAGGAAGCTGAAGGCAGGATGACAGGGCCCCTCTCCTCCTGGTCGTGGCCGAAAGGCCGGCGGGTGCACCGTCTGGGTACGAGCCAGATGCCCGGGTCCACCGCACAGCACCTTCCCCGCAGCCCACTCACTGAGCCTCCTCCGGGCAGACACACGGGCCGCGCGCACCTTCCCTAGCCAAAGCCCACACCCCTCCGCCCTGGGCCCCTCGGCGCTTCACACGGGGCCGGGGGCCTGGGCTCTCCAGGCGTGCTCACCTCGGGGCTGTGCCTGTCAGCCTGCGAGCGGAGCCCAGGGAGGATGAGCTCACAGAAGCCTCCCGCCAGCTCTCTGACCTCACCAAGCGCCGGGTCAACCACTGAGCCACACCGGCCGGACAAGTCTTCGTTTCTTACCAAGCTCCCGGATGCCATGCTGCTTCCAGGGACCACACTTAGAGAAGCCAGGACCCATACTCGCTACCCTGCTTTTTCCAGGAATCGGGACATGAGGAAAGCGAGGCCCGGAGGACTAACGTGGTTTTTCCAAAGTTGCAGGTGTCACCGGCAGGGGGCATTCCTGGCTACGGCTCAGGGGCTCTGGCTCTCCATGCCCAGCCCTGGGAGGGACAGGCAGAGGCCATGTGGTCAGAGATGCCAGGCTGGAATCGAATGAGTATCCGGAGCAAAGAGCAAAGAGAGCACCTCTTGAAGGATGCAGTAGGGGTGTCAGTAAAAACCATGGGGCTGGCAAACAAGTGTTGATTCTGGTCAGAGAGATGAGGCTTCGGCTGTGGGCAAAGCAGGCATCTCCTTCCAGAGCAGGGGAGCAAACGAAGCCCCTGGGAGGCAGGGCACGGAGAGGCACCCTTCCCGAGACCCAGGGGAGTGTCCTGCAGCCCGGCAGTCCTGGGGAAGTCAGGCTCCCGCACAGCCTAACCGAGAGCGTCCTGTCTCCTTTCAGGTTTCCAGTAAGTGTCCAGCAGGGACGGAGGACGATGAAGCTACCTCCCCCGCTCACCCCGCCTGCAGGAGTAATCTGCTGGGAGCAACCAGTGACTGTCATCCAGTGGAGAAGGCTGTTTCCTGAGGGAGGGTGTCCTACAGGCTGCGTGGGGCTGGGCCCTCTCTGCTGTGGGTGCCAGAGCCGCGGGCAGGCCAGGCAGTGCCAGGTGCCGGGGCAGGGCGAGGGCTGGAGCTCGCTCCTGCGGTGTTTCCCGTAGTCGACGGTACACCTTTTAGACTGTGAACAGTACCATCGTAGCCGGGTGGCAGGGGGCAGCCCCACGGTGCAACAGGGGAGGATAACAGTCATCGTGAGCTCTCTACCAGCCCACTCCCCGGCCCCACCCCCGGAGTAGAAGCCCAGGAACCGCTAGCGCAGGCCAGGCAGTAGTCAGAGCCAAAGGCAGGGTGGTGGGTTGCAGGGCATCTTGATGGCCAGCTCCAGTCTCTCAGACCAAACCCTACTCCATCACCCCGATGCCCAGATGACCCGCAGGCAGTGCCTGAACGAGCTGTGTCTCCAGGGAGCCACCCACCCTGCAGAGTGGAAGGACATCGCAGCACCCAGAGCAACGGACAGCTCCCAGGGGTGCTGCGGGGTTTGGCCGAAACTCCCCCTCCACCAGGGAAACAGCTGCGGGGTCCTGTCTCAGTGCAGGCCCAGCGGAGGGTGGGCCAGCCCTTAGGGGCGCCAGGGTGGCGGCTGCAGCCAGGGCACCTGGAAACGAAAGGACCAGAATTACAGTGCTGCCCTCTGCTCCTGAGCCCCGTCCTGCACACACAGGACTCCCTCCCTGGCAGAGGGAACACACTGCACGTGGCGTGGCGCCCTCTGGGACCCGGCGGAGGTTCATGCAGAGGAGGCAGGTCCTTGCATTTCAAAGCCGGACAGGCCCACAGCGCCCTCCAATCCACGTCCTCATTTACAACCCTACGGACCTGAAGCGAAGGGGGGGCCCGACCTGCCAAAACACAGCTTGTTGGTGGCAAAAGTCCCCTCCTTAGGAGCTCTCCCTGGCCACCCCAACTAGAGGCACCCCCTAGTTTCTCTCCAACCCATGACTCTGTTTTCTTTATCACTATCTGACATATCATCTTTATTTGCTTATATATTTATGACCTGGAAGCCCCCCCCCCCCGAGACTACATGCTCCGTGACAACAGGGACCTGTCTGTCCTGTTCTCACTGTGTCCCCAGTGGGTGAGCGGGAGAGGCAGAACCCAGAGCCCCTGCTTCTCAGGCTGGTGCGGCTCCCTGGCTTCACTCGCTGGGTGGCAGGGGCCCGGGAGCAGGGCCAGTCTCTGGCTCGCCTCCGGCCCTCACATTCGATGGCACAGAGTAACAAGGGAAAACGAGACAATGCATGCAAAACAACGGTTTTCCGAGGTTGGCAGAAGGCAGTAGAACATCGGTACCCAAAAGAAGAGAAACCAGGAGGAGGCCCTATGCCTGTGGTTGCCCCCCTTCCTACCTGCAGTGTCAGGCGGCAGCTCAGCGGGGAGCCACGTGGCGCCTCGTGATGTCCTTGAGTCGAGGAAATGGAGCTTGTAGTCCGGGGAGGCCACGGTGGCGGAACTTTGCAGGACAGAGCACCAGAGGTGCGTGAGCTGCAGAGAGAGAGGCTGAGATCGAGACAGATGACAGGTAGGAGCTCTCCGGAGACCTGCAGCCGGTACCCTTGGGTCTTCAGCTAACTGCTGCCCGATGCATACATGTGAGAAAATCACTCCAGCCTGGAGCAAGAACCGCCGGAGAGGAGGAGGAACACAGCAGAGCTGGGAACAGTTCATGGAGACGAGAGGGTCCTTGAGCAGAAGATGCAGGGGGCACTGCTCAGACGTGGGAAGGCCCCCCTGGAAGGCCGCTCTGGTCCTGCCAAGCAGGTGAAAACCCGGTCTCGGGAGTCTCGCGGTTTCCGAGTACCTTCGCTGAGCCTCGGGACAAACCTCAAAAATGTTTAAAAGAATATAAACGTCCGGCACCCCACACTGTAGAATTCACAATGTCTGACATCCAGTAAAATAAAAAATAAATAAATAAATTACCAGGCAAAAAAGGGAGGACGTCTGTAATATTTTCAACCATAAAGATAAATTTTTTTTTAAAAAATTACCAGGTATGCAAAGAAGTAGTAAAATATGGTCCATACTGAGCAGAAAAACCAATCGATACAAATAAAAACAGACCCATGAATGACATCGACGACAGATAAAGTAGACAGGGACTTTTTTTTAATGCAATGGATGTGTGTTTGAAATATATGCAGAAAGACGTCTTCTGTAGTCCTTTGCTGACAGGAGTCATTCATCTGGTCCTTCTTTCAAGGGGTGTGCGCTCCCCGGAGCTCGGTTCTGGGGGTCCGCCCTCCTGGAACTTTGATTCGAACTAGGGAGGTGAAGGGTACACAAGCGAACAAGGGAACCCGAGCTAAGGAGCTGGGAGTGGGTACGAGCAGCTGGCTCTCGGCACCGGTGTGGGAACCAGGGCAGGTGTGGAGAGGAAGGCGAAGGGCGAGGCTCGGACAGGGCGGCAGGTTGGGGCTCGGTGATGTCGGGAGGCCCGGGGCTGCGCGATGGAGCAGGAGCACCGAGAAGGCAAAGAGGAGGTCTGGGGGACTTGAGCCACCCAAGGGGGGGGGGGAAGTGTTCTGTGATGCGTTTCCAGGGGCCCCAGGGCGTAGGCGGCGGAGGCATGGAAAGGCTGGCTGTGAATGTTGGACGTTGAACGTGTACGTGTATAACGTGGGTGGGGGAATGGCGTTCTCTTTAATTCAGGCCCTGTCTCCTGTGTGAACAGTGGCCCCTGGATAGGGCCCTGCGAGGGAGGGGCAGTAACGCGCCGCGGGGTTTACTCCTTTACTGGGGGTTCCCCTGGCGCAGCGCCAGCCAGCAGGGCGGAGCCGGCCTTCTGCACGCCGAGGGGTACGCAGAGCCAAGAGCAGGCGGAGGTCGGGTTGCATCCTCACTCTGCCCGCTCATCGAAGTCCTGTCTCAGAAGGTGGCTCCGCCCCACACCAGCTCCATTCACCCCTCTGGCCCCAGGTGTGAGATACTGTCAGCATCTTCTCTGCAATACCTGTTGCGTTTGCCTTTTCCATGACTGTCCTGAGAGCCGGGCACGGGGCCCCTCACCATGCCGCAGAGCAGAGCCTTGCCAGAAGTTTCCAGGTCTCCCTCTGAGGCTGTCATGGTCAGCGACGCCCTCTGTGAGGGCCACCCCAGCCCACCCCAGGCCCCCTGAGGGCCTCTGCTTTCTTTCCTCCCTTTGACTCATGCACGGGTTTGACCAGCTGCCCCAGGGGGCTCCAGGATCCATGTCTGTGGAGTCGCCCTGGGGCTTCTGGGTCAGTGCAGCTTCCAGCAGACAGCCTGGCAAGTGGTCATCCCTGCTGACGGTGCTGTCGTCCTTCCCGGGCACGGCTCAAGGTCCATGTGCCCCTCTGAGTGGCTCCCAGTAGGTGCAGGACAGAGGGTCTTCACATGCCCAGATCAGACACACGCAAAGCAGTACACTGTCCGCGCGCCCGGGAGCAGCCCGCCCCTCACTGCCATCAGCACCTCGGTCCACTCTCCCAGGCTCCCTGAGGGCAGGGTGCAGTCTGTCATGGTCAGTCCCCTCATCTCCACCCCGGCCCATGTCTTCTTGGGCAAACTGCTGCTTCAGGTCCAAGCCCCCTTGCATCCTGGGTTTTTCCATAGTGTGCAGAGGTCAGGAGACATAGGGGACTTCTTTAAGGTGGGGTGTCCAGTGACTCCCTGAACAGTTGCTTTGCCTTCTTCAGATGGCGTGGCCATGGAGAGAGGGGTGCATGGTCCCCCCCACTCCAGCTGTGCTCCCAAGCTGGCCAGCTCCTTCATTAGGTCCACAGAGGAGCTATCTCCCTGCAGGAGTTACAGACCACAGAGACTCAGAAAAAGCAGAGAACGAAGAGCCTGTGACAGACACCGGCAGTGCCCTGCCCATGCCCCAGCCCACCTGGAGCTCACAGTCCCCATCCACACCAGCAGCTTCCTGTCCCAGCACCTGTATGTCTCTACCTGAAGGTCCTCTTGGCCGCAGGCACGCTCTCCAGCCACGTGCAGGGGGCGGTGGTGCCGGAGTCCCTCTCCCGGGAGCAGTCCTCAAATAATGAGACAGGAGTTGGGGGACAGCCAGCCCGGCTTCCCTGCTGCTGGTGGGACAGCTCTGAAGTGCGCCCCACACAGTCTCCAGAGGGCCCCCGTGGGGCCGAGCCCCTGTGCCCACAGCAGTCACCTGCTCAGTGACGCACCTGGACGGGCTGTCTTCCTCCCCTGTCTCTCTCTGTTTTTTATCCTCACCTGAGGACATTTTTCCATTTTTTATTTAGATAGAGTGGGAGAGAGAGAGAAACATCAATGTGAAAGGGACAGACACTTCGAGTGGCTGCCACCCACACAACCCACCCAGGACTGGGGACAAACTGCACGACAAACTGCACCCGAAGTACATGCCCTTAGTGGGAACCGAACCCAGGTCTCTCTGGACCACAGGCCGATGCTCTAACCGCTGAACCAAACCGGCCAGGGTGTCTCCTCCCCTGTCTCTTGTCCCCACTTCCTTGCGAACTTTTTCCGGGACCTGTTCCCAGATGACTGTTAGCACCCAAACTTTGCCTCGGGATCCGCTCTGGGGTGAGTCCGGTTTCAGCAAGGACATCTGTGCCAGAACCACGGGTGGGGCTGTTGCAGCCAAGTCTCTGGGCTGGTGAAAACGAGAGTCCTCCCAACGTCACCCCGAGCCCCGCTCTCCACTGAGCCGCATACTGGGGCTCAGGGGAAGGTTTCACGTGAGAAGGAAGTCTTGCTGCTCCACAAACAGTAGACATTTCTGAGCAAGATCAATAAAGGTTTGTTCGCTTGTTTTGAGCCTCTCCCTCCAGTCACCCCTCAGCTTTCCTCATCCTCTGCTGGTCACACCGCTGGGCCGGACCTCCCCTGACATCGCAATCTCCAGCCACGAGGGCAACGGCCCACACAAGGCCACAGTCAACCAGAAGTAGCCAGGCAGGTCCCAGTGCACAGGGGGCCTCAGTCAGCCCACCACCCCTGCCTCCACTCAGGACACTCTCCACGGCCTTCGCTGTGGGGAGACCTCCGGAGCCCGGACAACCCACACAGAACCTGTCGCTGCGGCCCAGTGGTGCCATCAATTAGGATGGCTCAGTTAGGGCACAGGATCTGAAACAGGGCTCCTCCTCGCCCCTCGCCCTGCGCCCACCAGGGGGCGCACTGGGGCGGCTGGGCCTTATCTCCCCCCTTGGTTCCGGTTTGGAAGGTAGGTGCCTTTTGCATTTGTGCGGATGCATGCTTATTGAGCACTCCGCACGCGAATGCCGATGTTGGAGGGCGGGTGGGCGGCGGGTGCTCTCCTTATCTCGGGCTCATCCAGGCGGAAAGAGGCCCGTGCCCAGCTGCTCTGTTGACTGCATTCTGCTCATTGTACATGAAATTGATCGGGGGGAGGGTTGTTTTTCTTCTTTTTCCTCCAATCTCCTTATTAGTTCAGCCTCAGAGGGTCCCTTATCACGGCCGGATGTCAGACACGCTCTGCCATCAGGCCGGGCAGGGCACGCTGTCCATTAATTGATTTTGCCCTCCCCTCCTTGGGAAGCACAAATCGGCTGGGCCCATTAGCAGCAATAATTCCCTGAAAGGGATTATAAATCATGACCTATGTTCATCAGGTGAGTGTCCCAGTGGGAGGTGTCAGGCAGGGAGCTGGAGCTGAAGGTAGAGAGGCCACCACAGTTCAGCAGGCTCGCTCCTACCCGAGCCCAGGAGGCCACAGGGAACTAGGAGGAGCACGGCAGGTCCCAGCGCACCGGGGGGCCTCGGTCAGTGAGCCCGGAAGGAGCAGAGGAGGAAGCGAGGGAAGGGGGGGGGGTCCCTCCAGGAGGCAGAGAGCTTGGAGAACCTCTCATGGCGACCCCCACTCCCCCAGTGCACCCTCATGTGACTATCCTTTGGCTCTGTGACCTCGGGTTTTCAGAAGCACCCCACTAAGCGGGAAGTGCTTCTGAGAAAGACTCTCCTTAACTCCAGCTTGGCTGGTCTCCGGGTGTCCCTGAAAAGCTGAGTGGAGAGGAGAGGAGGGAGCCCCGGGGAGCGAGAGCGGCCAGGGAGGGCGCGAGGAGGCCATGGTCTGGCCAACGGTGCCGGCACATAGTAGGTTCTCTGTAAGGAGAGCAGCGCCCCCCCTATCTGATGGGGATATGTTCTAAGACCCCCTGCACATGCCTGAAACCACAGGAGTAGTGAATTCTATATGTACCTGTCCCTTTCTGTGTGTGCTCACCTGTCCAGTCCACAAAAGCCCTCCGTGGCTCCTCTGTGGCAGACCCAAACTGCCAGCGTCACTCTCGCACTGAGGCCATGACGAGTAAGACGAGGTGACGTGAACACAAGCCCTGCGGGGCTGACCGGCGCTCTGATAACTGAGCCGGCTACCGGCTACCGAGGGAGTGATGAGGGCTGGGAGCTCACGCCGTGTGGAGACACGGGACAAAGGGACTCCTCACATCCTGCTGGGGGGATGGTGACAGATTTCATCATGCCACTCGGAACGGCACACGATTTAAAACAAAGGCATTGTTTACTTCTGGAATTTTTCATTTAGTATTTCAAGACCGTAGCCGGTCATGGATAACTAAGACCATGGGAAGTGAAGTCGTGGATAAGGGGGCATTACTGTCGTCCATAAATGAACGGCGTGCTTTGCCCAAGGGGAGCCTGGCACCGCTCCGTGCCCGGGACCTGAGGGAGGGAGGACTTCCATACGGCTGCTCCAGCCCTCCGTCCACCCGGCAGCTCTCACGCCCCGCTGGCCTGCGCGGTCTCCCCTGCAGGGGATGCAGTCTCTCGTCCCCTTCCACCCGAGAACAGCCACCACTGCCTGTGGACAGTGCCCTGACCAGTCGAGGACACTCGGGCTCCGGAGGTTGCTAGGACCTTCCTGAGATCCCCAGATACCAACCGATAAGCTTCCTAAACAGCGCACGAGAGCTCTCTTCACATATTGAGCCTGTCCGGGGCCATAAAACAGGATCTGATTCTCACACGGCCTTGCTCAGAACCGGGAATTAACAAGTCTCTGGTGACGAGATGACAGCCAGCACTCTGTGCCCCACGTCTCCGAAGCACGGGGAGCCCCAGGCCAGGTGGGGGCTGGGCCCCTGGCACTCGTCTGCCCACAACCCAGCACGTGCTGCTTGGGGAAGCTCCAGGGGCCTCGTGCAGGGGGCCTCAGGACACCCAGAGCCCTCAGGACTGCAGAGAGCCAGCTGCCACCCCAGGCAGGGCCTCACCTGAGCCACAGGATGGGAGGTGCTGCGGGGACCCTCCCGCCTGCCTTGGGATCGTCCTAACGCCCAGCTCCGCGGCCCTGCCTGGATGTGCTGTCGTTAGGGTTCAGGCCTCCGAGCAGGTGAGGAGCCCCGTGTCACTGCCGTGCTCCTGGTCACTCATACACTTGGAAACAGCAAAAGTCTCCCCCTTGTTTCTAATTTCCCTAAGACACACCTGTCTCTCTTTCCCCCTCTCCCCCTCCCCCTGCCTTCTTCCTCCGCCTCCCATTACAGAACCACAGTTGCTCTTCCTGGGCATGCTGCCACCGTGTCTGCCTCCCCACAGCCCCTTCCAAGGGACACCTGTACATGGGGTGCCCGCTGGCTGGGGCCAATCAGCTGACGGTGAGGACTGCCCCGAGGTGGCCCCCTGGGAAGGGTGCCCCTGGACACACTGCCTCCTAGAGGATTCGAGCCCAGAAACACGGGAGAAGCAGCCCCGGGAGCTGACACTGACCAGAGCCCCACTGGGCGAGGGGAGGGGCCTGCGGAGGAGAGTGCGCAGGCGCGTGGACGGCGGGAGTTAGAAGTGGGGACGCAGGCTCGGTTGTTCCGGAACCCTGGCTGCTCCTGGCTTCCACCCCAAGGTATTTCAACGACTTCAGATAGCTGGAGAGTGTTCCTATTCCTTCCCACTCAAATAAGCCTTGAGCAATTAGAAAACCAGCCTCGCGGAGCCATTGGGAAGTAACAGAACACCTCCGTGGCTTAAACAAACAGGCTTTCCGTTTCTAACATGGACGAGGGCTAGAGACAGGTGTGTGCAGGCATCGGCTGGCATCTCCGCATCGCCCTTGACCTGTCCCTCAAGGACACTCGTCCACGCAGCGGGTGCAGGCGTCTGTGCGGCCAGGGAAGACCGGGAAGGGCCAGCTGAGGCTGAACCCTCTGTCAGGAGAGAACAGCTCTGCCCCCACCTCCCTGGCTGACTCTGCCCAGATCTAATTGGTCAGGCCTGGGTCACATGGCCACCCCAGCTGCAGGGGAGCCTGGAAAGTGGGTGCAAGGGACACTGTCAATCCTCTGAGCCCCGTCCCATTTCCGAGCCCTCTCCCCCACTTTAATCTGTTTCTGCTTCCAGGCCTGGCCTGCCCTGGGGCTCTTCAGTGGACTGTCCAAGGCGACGGGGGCCGCACTGCCTGCAGGTGCACAGGGTTGGAGGAGCCCGAGTGGCTGGCCGGTGCAGGACTATGGACCCGCCAGCGCTCCCCAGGGACCGGCCGAGGGGGACAATGGTGCCTCCTTGGCCCCACTTGCCCCACTTCTCTGGTCTTGACTTAGCGTCCTGCTCATGCACAAACCCACTGAGGGCTGCTCCGGGGGAACCGGCCCCGGACTGCAGAGAGCGGGGTCGTGTGACGGCGACACCAGCCAGGCTCCATTGCCTGACAGGTACAAAAGCAGGATTCTGTTCTCCAGGAAAGAAGGAGAGGACATCGGGCAGGCAGCTCGGTGCCTGCTACCGCAGCTCATTACAGAAAACAGGCAGAGAGCTCTCGCCCTCGCACACCGCCGTGCGATGGAAATGGGGCAGACACTTTGGAAACGGTCTGGCGGGTCCTCAGAGGGTTAACCACGGAGTGGCTGAGTGACCCAGCAACCCCATTCCTATGTATATGTCAAAGGAATCGAAAACATGTGCACCCAAAAACTTGTGCACGAGTGTTCATAACAGCATTATACATAATGGCCAAAACATAGCAACAACCCAAATAGCTGTTGACTGCAAAGTGGATAAATAAACTGTTGGTATATCCATACAATGAAACATCATTCAGCCATAAAGAAGAATAAAGTACTGACACGCTACAGTATGGGTGAACCTTAAAAGTGGTGAGCTAACAGAAGCCAGACACAAATGCATCTGTGTGAAATGTCCCGAATAGGCGCGTCCACAGAGACAGGAAGCAGATCAACAGTTGCCAGAGCAGAGGGGGTGGGCTGTGGGCAGGGTTCAGGGTTCTTCTTCGAGGTGATGGGAATGTTCGCAAATTGATCGTGGGGATGGTTGCACAACCCTAAGGATATGTTAAAAACCATTGAATTGTATACTTTACATGTGTGAATGGTATGGTGTGTAAATCATATCTCCATGAAACTATTGCAGAGACACACATACATACGCAAAGGAAACAGCCTCGATTCCGCCACCCCGAGCCAGGACATCCTTCTAGCCTTGTTTTATTCGCACACATGTCCCACCAACACAGAACCCTCTGCAGGGAACCCGCTAAAGGACTTCCAGCAAGGAAAATTGTCAGCAAAGTCTACGAGGCAAACGCATCCGGCTTGTCAGGCGCACCCACCCCGACACTGTTCCCGACGGAGACTGTCACTTGTCTGTTTGCTCTGCTCTGATTTGTCACCCAGTTGACTCATCCTCGGCTCCCCAATAGGCAGGTCAATTCTCCTGCCCCATTCTGTAGCCAAGGCAACTGAGTACACGGTTTATTCACACTCATCTGATTTCTTCCCAACTCTTAAGCGTGGGGGCTTGAAGCCATCATGGCTGAGAAGCTGAGGGCTGCCGAGGGGGGCCATGCGGGCCTGGGCGGAGGAAGGAGAGCATCAGATTTGGCCCAGAAACACCCATCCGCCTTGCAGGCAGAGGACGAGACACGATGACCGCAGGCGGCCTGGTGAGTCGAGGGGTCCACGCGCTTGCCGCTGTGCACGGAGGAAAGGCCAGGTGGGGGAGGCCGGCCTGTGCACCCGTGTTACTTAGCGCACCCAAGCTGAGCCGCACTGTTCAAACAGACAGCTGTGCCGGGAGGGCCGGGAGGGCCGGGCAGGCAGAGGCTGAGCTCGGGCTCCCAGGCACGGCCGCGTCTCCGCCCAGAGCGAGCCCACACGGGCAGAGTCCTGGCCGCCATGCCCCACACTGGGCTCTGCGGCTGCTGGGGGGGCCGGGTGCTGCCCCTGCTGCTGGCCTATGTCTGCTACCTGCTGCTCGGCGCCACCGTCTTCCAGCTGCTGGAGAAGCAGGCGGAGGCGCAGTCCAGGGACCAGTTTCAGTTCGCGAAGCTGCGCTTCCTGGAGAACTACACGTGCCTGGACCAGCGGGCCCTGGAGCAGTTTGTGCAGGTGAGGGGGGCGCGCTGTGGGCGGGCAGGACGGGTTCCCAGGCAGGTCCGGAGCCTGAGAAGTGTGGGAACAAAGAGTGTGGGAACAGAGCCAGGGGACACTGAGATCCAGGTCTGAAAGGGGATTGCTGCGACATCGGACAACTCACTTAACCTCTCTGGCCCCTAATCTCCTCTGGAAGGTGAGGAGAGCAATCGCATCTGTGCTGCAGACATTCAACAGCCGACTAAAAGCACTTTCTAGCCCTGGCCGGTTTGGTTCAGCGGTTAAAGCGTCGACCTGCGGTCCTGAGAGACCCGGGTTCGGTTTCCGCTAAGGGCACGTACCTCGGTTGCAGTTTGTCCCCGGAACCTGGTCGGTTGTGCCGGTGGCAGCCACTCGATGTGTTCCTTTCACATCGATGTTTCTCTCTCTCTTTCTGTTCCTCTCTCTCCCTCCCACTCTACCTGAACAAAAAATGGAAAAATGTCCTCGGGTGCGGATAAAAAAATAAAAATAAAAAAAATAAATAAATAAAAGCACTTTCTAAACTGCCACTCCCTGCGTAACTGGAGTATAGTGCTACTGTGCTGTGCAAACAGTGTCATCCACTGCACTTCCCCAGCCCCAGCCCCAGGGCCGCTGTTCCTTCTGCCCTGTCCCCAGCTCACGGCCCTGTGCTGACACACTGAGGCTGACATGGGAGCCGCAGAGAAAGGTCCGGAGCAGTCTGACCCATCTGGAGCGGGGCTTGGTGAGCAGTGGCCAGGCGACAGCGCCTCCAGCACTGTGCCATGGGAGGCTGTCTCTGATGGCATAGCGGGTCACCCCTGCCTGGGCCCCTTTGCTTCCCTGCACACATTCTGGGTCCCCAGCACCCGCTCTCCAAGAAACAAGGCAAAGCCCGATGTCACTGGGGAAAGTAGATGCCTTCGCGACGAGGGGGCGGAACGACAACCCCCACCACGAAGAAACAAGCAGGGCCGTCGCAGTGATCACCGTATTTACTGAGCATCACAACGGGCCTTAAACAGAGGGAGGCAGGGTCGCCACGCTGGGCCCCATGCCCTACAGGTGTTGTCATCACCTGCATTATCACCATCGGCAGTTTTCAGGTGGGAACGGAGGCACAGAGAGGTGGCGTATGTTGGCCGAGGTTGCACAGTTTGTGGTAGAGACAGAACGTGCACCCGCGCAGCCTGCTCTTTACCACACAAATCAGCTAAGCACCTGGGCAGGAGACAGCCCCTGGCAGCCCCTCTCGAAGGGGCCCCCGACCAGCTGCGTCCCCGGCACCTGGGAGCTCCTTAGAAATGGCGCAAATCATGCCAGCCCCAGACGCACTGAGTCAGGAACGCTGGGGCGGGCCGACAGGTGGTGAGGACAAGCCCTCGAGGGGATGCTGATGCCACTTAGATGGAAAGCAGCCTGGAAGACGGGTGCGCTGCGAGAGACCCAGGAAATGAGGCCCTTTCTTTCAGGAAATGAGGCTTCATTTTCTTGCTCCCAGCAGCACGGAGCCGAGCCATCGCACCGTATCAGGACTGGGAGCCTCTCAAGACTCCAGGAGATGTGGACGGAGACGGGGACAAGAAAGAGGCCCTGGAACCTCCTTCTCCCTCAGCCCTGGGTTAGAGGCAAACCCCAGGAGCCAGAGGGTGTGGGAAGGATCGTAGCTCTGTAAACACAGTGAGAGGCAACCTCCTTCTCCCTCAGCTCTGGGTTAGAGGCAAACCCCAGGAGCCAGAGGGTGTGGGAAGGATCATAGCTCTGTAAACACAGCGAGAGGCAACCTCCTTCTCCCTCAGCCCTGGGTTAGAGGCAAACCCCAGGAGCCAGAGGGTGTGGGAAGGATCGTAGCTCTGTAAACACAGCGAGAGGCAACAGGGTCGACTGCAGCCTGAGGGAGCCAGACCACCCCTGGAGTCCTCAGCCCCCTTAGGAAGAACCTCCCTTGTGGGGGACTGTCTAGGGGGGAAGCAGAATTCTGGGATGAGATTTCAGGACACACATTACTTTTCTTTTCTTTTCTTTTTTTTTTTTTGGTATTTAAACAAAAAGTGTAGAAGCTATCTTCCTTTTTATAAATCCAGTTCCTTACAAAGTTTAGAAAATTTGGATATAAAATCTTTTTTTTTCCATTTTTTTAATCTTTATTGTTGAATGTATTACAGATGTTCCTCATTTTCCCCCCACTGACCTCCTCCTCCCTCCCGCCTTTTCCCACACTATTGTCTGTGTCCATTGGTTATGCATATAAGTTCTTTGGTTTATTTCTTCCCACCCCCCAACTCCCTTCCCTTTGAGGTTTGTCAGTCTAGCAACCAATTTGTACTTCTTAATCCCTTCACCTTTTTCACCCATTCCCCCAACTCCCCTTCCATCTGGCAACCAACAAAATGTTCTCTGTATCTATGAGAATGTTTCTATTCTGCCTGTTCATTTTGTTTGTAGATTCCATTGTCGATAGATATGTATTCATTCCATTTTGTTTGTTCATATATTTTATCTTTTTCTTCAAAAAGACCCTTCAACATTTCATATAATGGTTTGGTGGTGATGAACTCCTTTAGCTTTTCCTTCTCTGGGAAACTCTTTATGTGGCCATCGATTCTAAATGACAGCTTTGCAGGATAGAGTAATCTTGGTTGTAGGTTCTTGCTTTACATCACTCTGAATATTTCTTGCCACTCCCTTCTAGCCTGCAAAGTTTCTTTTGAGAAATCAGTTGACAGTCTTATGGGAAGTCCCTTGTAGGTAACTAATTGCTTTTCTCTTGCTGCTTTTAAGATTCTCTCTTTGTCTTGACCCTTTTGCATTTTGATGATGATGTGTCTTGGTGTGGGCCTCTTGGGGTTCATCTTGTTTGGGACTCTCTGTGCTTCCTGGACTTGTATGTCTGTTTCCTTCACCAAATTAAGGAAGTTTTTTGCCATTATTGTTTCAAATAGGTTTTCGATTTCTTGTTCTCGTTCTTCTCCTTCTGGCACCCCCAAGATGCGAATGTTGGCACACTTTCAGTTGCCCCAGAGGCTCCTTACACTATCCTCATTTTTTTTGGATTCTTTCTTTTTGCTGTTCTGATTGGGTGTTTGTTTCCTTATATTCCAAACCGATGGTTTGCTTCTTGGCTTTATCTACTCTACTATTGAATCTGTGTAAATTTCTTTATTTCAGTTAGTGCCTCCTTCATTTCTGACTGGTCCTTTTTTATGCTCTTGAGGCCCTCACTAAGTTCGCTGAGGTTCTCACTAAGTTCATTGAGCATCCTAATAAGCAGCATTTTGAACTCAGCATCTGTTAGGTTGCTTATCTCCATTTCGCTTAGTTCTTTTCCTGGAGTTTTGTTCTGTTCTTTCATTTGGGACCTGTTTCTTTGTCTCCTCATTTTGGCTGCCTCTGTGTGTTTGTTTCTGTGTATTACTTAATGAGAGGTATGGGGCTAGCTGAGACCAGATGCTGCTTGTTTGAAAGGACTTAGGAAAACCTGAAGCAGGATCCAAGACAGGCCAATCCTATGGTTAAGCAAGTGGCAACAGCTTGGGTGGGCCTGAAAGTGTGGTGGGGCCTCAGGGAATCACTAGGGCGGGGCTATCAGTGTGAGCCAGGTGGCTGGAGTCCCAGATATGGTGGCTGTCTGCAGCCCCAGGGAAGGGCTCACCAAAGGAACAAAAGCCTCTGACAGCAGTTTGTCCCAGAGAAAGCTCCCTCTCCAGCCCTCGCTTCAATGCCAAACAGCTCAGTTCTTCCCTGTATGTCTCTGGTGCCCCTTGAGCTGCCTCCCCTCCAAGCTTAGAGGGAGAGAGTCCGATAAGTCCGTGCGCGGGCCCTTTAAGAGCAGCTGCCTGGGGCTCCAGCCGCCTCAGCCTCTCTGAGCCTCAGTTCCCACTGGTTTTTCCAGCCAGAAGTTATGGGAACTTCTCTTCCTGGCACTAGAACCCTGAGCGGGGCGCCTGGTGTGGGACGGGGACCCCTCAGTCCTCAGGGAGGACCTTCACAGCCGAGGTGTCCCCCTGATTTTTATCCACCACACGTGGGTGTGGGACCAGCCCATTTACCGTTGCCCCTCCTACCAGTCTGGATGTGGCTGCTGCTTTAATTCCATAGTTGTAGGACTTCCATTCAGCTCGATGTCAGGCGGTTTTGAATGATGGTTGTTCTGTAGTTTAGTTGTAACTTTGAAGTGGTTGTGGGAGGACGCAATACCACATTTACCTACCTGTCATCTTGACCGGAAGTCCACACATTACTTTTCAAATCACAGGGGGAAAGCTATAAACAGTGCTACAAGCGGTAGTAAGGGCTGACTCCATCAAGACATGAGGCCGTGCCAGGTTCACAGGACTAGTGTGTGACGTTCTCTGCTGTGGATTCTTAGGGAAGGATGGAAAGTCCGAATTTGGTGCCCTGCTTGGCAAGGGGCACCCTCCTCAACGGGACAGAGAATGTCAGGATGGGGTCAGCTGGAGTCCAGGGCAAGCGCTGCTCCCAAGAGGGAGGGTCTCGGGGAGAGGGTGTGTGCCAGAGTCCCATCCTGGCCGGTCTGGTGTGTGGGAAAGGGAGGGAAGCCAAAGTCCACATGAGAAGAGGCCATTTCTGCCACAGTGACAAGAAACAGACAGCCTGTGTCAGGACGTCCAATGGCCTGTCCCATGGGGGCCACCCCACCCTGGCCAAAGCTTGCTCACCTCGTCATTGAGGAACGGTTCCCACAGGAACTAGAGACCAGAGCTTCCCCCTCCCCTGCCCTTCCCGCCTGCCTTTGGGGCTCTACTAAGTGGCAAGTCTATGCTGCTGCCCTGGCTACGGGGAGGGTGAAGGAGCAGATGGGGGAGAAGCCCTGCCCTATTGAAGAGGGCTAGGCCCAGGGGCAGAGGGGCTTAGGCCTGAGCCTGCACGGAGGGTTCAGGTTCTGTAAACACACACTCAACACACGCACACACACAAACCATCACACACTCAACACACACATACACATAAGGCATGCATACACATGTAGTGCGCACACACACACACCCACACACACAAAGGAGACCTTTACCCCGGCCTCTGATGGAATTTCTCCTGTAGGCCTGGGCTGACTCTCACTAGGGGGCAGCAAAGAGCAAGGCTACCAGCTGACCTGGAAGCACAGAGAACCATCAGCCCTGTGGGAGGGCAGCCCCATGCCTTCCGGACGGACCCCATACCCTGTGTTCTCAAGTAAACCTTCCAGGAGCATCCAACCTGAAATCTCCCCATTGTCCTGCCACTCATTTGCATCTCACCTTGGCCACAGGCAGCATCTCCCACATGGTCCATTCCGTAAGCATTCTCTGCCTCCTGAGGCCCATGCCCCTCCACCAGCCCGTGCTTAGAGCCCACACTGCAGTCAGTGCTGCACAGGGCAGCACACAGTGCATTTGGAAACCAGTGACCTTGGCAAGCAGCCACTCTGCGTTAGCTCCCCTTCCCAGGCAGTGGACATGAGCCTATCTACGGGTATCACTGACAGAGCCCGACACAAACGCACCTTGCTGAGGACTTGGCCAACAGCTGGTGCCAGCCGCTCCCTCTTCCTGCCATCCCACAGGTCATCATGGAAGCCTGGGTGAAGGGCGTGAACCCCAAAGGCAACTCCACCAACCCCAGCAACTGGGACTTCGGCAGCAGTTTCTTCTTTGCAGGCACGGTCGTCACCACCATAGGTAAAGGGTTGGGTGAAGAAGGGCTCCCCCGTCTAGGTTTGGGCTCCCCAAAAGCAAGTGCTGAGACACGGGTGTGGTTTATCTAGGAGACGACTCCAGGAAGCACTGGGAGACAGTGGGAGGTGGAACGGAGAACAGGCAGTAAATTTCGCATCAGGGAGCAGGTTCCTGGTAGGGCAGCTGGGCTCGCTCCTACTGGGGACCCTCTGAGAGGCTCGGTAGAGCCCATCCTCCGAACAGTCCCTGTGAGGGGCGAGAAAGCAGAGGTATTTGTCCCCCCAAGTCCTGCCCCAGATGGTTGAGAGCTAATCCTGGATGCATTAACTCTCCAGCATCTTAGACCTGCGCACAGACCAAGTGAGCTCCTGGGAACAGAAAAAGATCTCGGGTACAGAGAGAGGCAGGGACTTGGGGTGGGAAGTCATCTATGTGCCCAGGACCTGTCCACAAAGCTGCAGGTGCTAGCCCAGGTGTTCCAAGAGGACAGGACACTGAGCGTGTCTGCTACACCCTTCAGCCAGAACACCCACTCCAACTCCTGCAAGGGAACTCCCAGACCCCCACTAACTTCATCCATTAAGGCCCTTTAAGTCCAACACCTTCTTTGAGCTCTGGTGACATGAGAGGCAGAGGAGGGAGTAGGGGTAGGGGGATACATACAAACTTAGATCAGACCCAGACTCAGCCCTCAAGGAGCTTCCAATCCAATGAAGAGGGATAAGATAAACACACCAAAATCAACAGTACAAGGCAAAGTAGATAATTCGATAGGAATGGCACAAAGCTCTATGGGAAATCACACCTAGTAGGGAGGAGGAGAGTGACAATCAGGAGGGCTTCCCAGAGGCAGTGTCATTTAAGATGGGCCTTGGAAGACAAGCAGGAGTCTTATAAATAGGGATCATCCTAGCAGAGAATGAGAAGACTGTCCATGAGATCAGGGGAGCTTCCCCTCCTCCTCCCAGAGGTGATGGAAGACCACCAACCTCTGCTAGAGTCTGTGGGGGAGGCAGTTCTGTCCCCCCCCCATTTGCACGCTCCGCCTCCCCTGCAGGATATGGGAACCTGGCACCCAGCACCGAAGCAGGCCAGGTCTTCTGTGTCTTCTACGCCCTGGTGGGCATTCCACTCAACGTGGTCTTCCTCAACCACCTGGGCACAGGGCTACGTGGCCACCTGACCACACTTGAGAGGTGGGAGGACCAGCCCAGACGTTCCCAGGTAGGCCCGCCCCCCTGCAGGCCCGCTGTGACAGAACCTATTGCAGCTTGAGCCTTTGGAGGCGGACACCGAGACGGAGTGTGGCAAGCAGGTGTTAGGTAGACACTGGTGGGAGAAAAGGCCTGGGCAGAGGGAGAAGCTGACTGCAGTGTGGGCTGGGCAGACTTGCTTCTCTTGGCACCGGGCAGCCTTCAGGGAAGGCGCCCTTGAGCCAGGCAAGTCTCTGAGCTGCCGTACATCCTGAAGGAGCTGACGGCTGGTCAACCTGGCACATCTCCATGGTCATCACAGGACCCCGGCAAACTCCAGGCCACCCAGCATGCCCAGTGCCACCTCACTGGCCAGTCTTTGCAAAGCCAGGCACACTAGGAGGACAAGGATGCAGAGGAACCTGGGACGCCTCAGTGACAGTCCTCTGTCCCAGATCTGGGTCCCCAAGGGGCCTTACAAGAGGATTTCCCAGCCCAAAGGAATCTCCAAATTCCAACTTGACCCACTAATGTAGCCCCTCTGACCAAATTTTTCCCTGACCTGGGCAAGATGTCACACACACAGATAGATCCAAGCCCCACCCCAGGGGTCTGCAGGGCTGGGGAGGGACCTGGCTATGACCCAGTGCCACTCCCAAATTTTCCGCAGACCCCCCCACCCCATACAGTCCCGGGGCTTTCCAGTCAGACTCCCTCCCTCTCTCCAGCTTCTGCAGACCCTGGGCCTGGCTCTGTTCCTGACCCTGGGGACGCTGGTCATTCTGGTCTTCCCACCCATGGTCTTCAGCCACGTGGAGGGCTGGAGCTTCGGCGAGGGTTTCTACTTTGCCTTCATCACTCTCAGCACCATCGGCTTCGGGGACTATGTTGTTGGTGAGAACGAGGTCTTCGCGTATCTCAGAGTCAGGGACACCAGGATTGGGGGATGGGGAGATGCCAGCAGGGGTAACTACTGAGGATCAGATAACCCCGGTTTTCTTGGAGGAGATGAAGGATTTCTGAGGCTGCTGTAGATTCTCACAACATCCTCAGAAGCCGCTGGTCTGGGATCCATCACCCTTTCCCCAGAGACCACCATTGTGGATCCCTGTTATGGGGAGGCTGGCAGGGCCCCTCTGGAACTGGGGGTGGGGGTTGTGCCCTCAGACACCTGCCTTTTATCACAGCCCCCTTCCCTGGCAGGCACGGACCCCAGCAAGCATTACATCTCGGTATACCGGAGCCTGGCGGCCATCTGGATCCTCCTGGGCCTGGCGTGGCTGGCGCTGGTCCTCCCGTTAGGTCCCCTGCTTCTGCACAGGTGCTCCCAGCTCTGGCTGCTCAGCAGGGGCCTCAGCCTCAAGGAAGACGGGGTCCCTGAGACCAGACCTCAGAAGATCTCCATCTCTGCATGAGGCCTCCCAGTGGCCCCAGGATCCCCTCTCGGCTTCTCCAGCCCAGCCACGTGCTCCCTGAATTTCCCGCCCCCTCCCCACACACACACACAAGCCACTCATTTCCCGGCCAGGGCTGGTCTCAGCTCACCAGAGAGAGAACGAGGCAGGAGTGTCCAAGAAAGTAACAGAAAGCAGATGTGGACACAGGACCAATGACAGATGCGTGTGAAGTGAGGTGTACACCACTGTCCCACAGCCCCTGCCCCTTTCCCCTCAGAAGTGACCAGACATGATCTCTGTGACCAAATCTCCACTGCCCTCCTTGCACCCCTCCCAGGAGACCTCACACAGGACAGCAAACAGAGGGTGACCCTACTGTTACCTCGTTGGGTACGTGCACAGACCTGGTCTGGTCCCCGCCGTGTGCCGGGCACTGTGTCGGGCTCTGGGGCACAGCAGCGAGAGTGTCTGCGTCCCAAGTGCCTTTAGTTCAGCGGAGGACTAGCCACTGGAGAGGCAACCCAACCCAGTGCCCAAAATGCTATGGCAAGGGCAGACCAGGGCGTGACGAGAGCCTGTGGGAACGGCTGGCAGGGAGGCTCAAGGAGGGGGGCAGGGACTTTGGGGCATCTTAGTATGAATAGGAGCTCTGCCCTCGGGAGGCTACACTGGGGGCAGGCGAGCTGCCAGTTCTCCTTGCCTGGGAGTCCAGAGCTGTCCGTGAACAGGCTTAGGAGGCTTGGGTGTCCCACCCACTTTCCTGGGCCTGGTCTCCCGTGACACCCACACAGGGCACCCCCTGACCCCATCACCCACTCTGGGCCCCTGTCTTCTTAGGAGCGTTTCCAAGCATGTTTCTCTGGGAAAACGGAGAGTAAGTAAATCCCAGGAGACTTCCAAAGATAAGGTCCCGGGAGGCTCAGCCGATCCCTGGGAAAAAGCCCTGCTGTCCAGGCCCTTCTGCCAGACTGCGGCACCTCTGGAAAGACTTAGACAGTACACCCGTCCCAGGGCAGGCTCACCAAGGACTGCAACCTGGGCCCCTGCCTCTCTCAGGAGCTCAGCAGCAAGGCGGGCCCGTAAGTGCCCGGGGACCTCTGGGCAGGCCTGAGGCAAGGTTAGAAAGCAGAGGAGGCTCCAGGTGGGACACCCAAGGAAGAATCTACAGCAGCGAGACCCAGGTCACATCCCCGGACTTCCTGATTTGAAGCTGAGGACTTCTGGGGACTCCTTACCTACCCAGGACCTTCCTCCATTCTGGGTAGAGAAGGGAGTCAGGGGCCTCTTTACAAGTAAGGAATGAACAAGCCCACTGGTCACGTCTCCTCTGCCTCCCAGGCTCAGGGACAAGCGATGATCAGCTGGGGTCCTCGTCTTTGGGTACACAAAGGAAAGGATGATGGTGTGAGATCCAGGAGGACTTTACAGGCAGCAAGACCTTGGAGATGATCCCAGGGTCCAAGGACTTAAGCAGGGGCCCTAAGAAAATAAACTTGGCTCTACTTTCTCTTGCCCCGAGTGTGGTAACCAGGAGTACCTACGTGGTTTGCTCCAGGACAGCTAGGGCTCTGGGGGCTTCCTTCCAGCGCTGCATCACCAGCAGCCCCCCCCCCCCCCCAGCCCTGAGCTGGGCCTGGGGGTGGGCACTCCATGCACTTTCGAGGCGGGGCCAGATGCCACAGCTAGGGCCTCTTTTTGTCCCTGGGATTGGATCCGGTGCAGGGTGGGGCAGGGCTGTCCAGCACGCCTCCTCTGCCTGCCGAGAAGACGGCACAAGCAGCCCTGGCCCGAGCAGGGCTGACCAGCAGAGCGCAGAGCCCTTCTCTTCCACCTCGGTGCTGGCCCATGGCTCCCCGCTCCGGCCTGGTCTGCCCCACCGTGCGCAGACCGCGAGTCCGGGCAGCGGCCCAGGGCAGGTCCCGGGGCTGCGCGGTGCCGGGCACTGTGCTCCTGCTGCTCGCCTACTTGGCTTACCTGGCCCTGGGCACCGGCGTGTTCTGGATGCTGGAGAGCCCCGCGGCGCGGGACTCCAGCGCGAGATTCCAGCGCGACAAGTGGGCGCTGCTGCGGAACTTCACGTGTCTGGACGGCCCCGCGCTGGACTCGATGATCCGGGTCAGGGAAGAGCGGGGCCGGCGGCGCGCGGGGGAGATCCAGGGCAGGGCAGGCGGGGTGGCGGCAGAAGGCGACAGGGCATGCCCTGGCTGGGACAGGAGAACCCCGGGAGCACTTCTCCGAAGGGTGGAGGGATAGACGCGGGCCGATGGTGGCCTGGCGGGGCGGGGGCGAGAGGGTTGGGCTGAACGGCCGAGGAAGCCCCCCGCCGGCGAGAGGAGCGCGCAGCGCGGCGCTGTGAGCCCTGCGGGGGCGCGAGGGCGTGACCCACCCGGTGGAGAGGTTCGCGGTCAAACACCGAATTTGGGGATGAGGACGACAGGGGGCGCGCTTACCCGGTCAGGAGTAGCCAGGGCCGACCCATTGGAGTCAGAACAAGGGCAGGGCGCGCTTGGCCGGCTTGGGAGGTGGGGGGGGGGGGGTCGAACTGGGACCCGACGACTGTATGTTGGGGTCGGACCGCAGGCGAGGGGCGAAAGGACACGTCTGCCCCTTCTACAGAGAGACCCAGAGTGCAACTGTGCTAACTGGGGGAGGGGCAGCAGGGGGGCGCAGGGCGGGGCCTAAGGATGAGCAAGACCGTGGGCATGACTGTCAGGGTGGGGGGAAAAGGGGGTCTCAGGGCACTCGTGTCCCGGTTGTGGGTGGAATGGGGGCCAGGAACGCGTGCCAGGGTCCTGGGACTCCAAGTGCACAGACCCGGGTCCGAGAGAAGGAGGGGCGGATGCAGGGGCGCTCTTCAGCTGACCCCACGTTACTCAGTTTCGGACAGGGACTGGGCACGCCTCCCGGCCGCGGAGACTCGGAAGGACAAAAGGGAACGGTGGGCGGGAGGACGCAGAGGAGCCTGAGGACCGACACGGCTCAGAGGATGGGGACCCAGCGGGCATGCGAAGAGGGGAGGCAAGGGAGGGTCCTTGGGTCGGGGCATGAGGATGGACGGAGGTCTTCTCCAACTCAGGGTAGGCGACGCGGGACTGGGAGTTGCTGGGTTTGACGGATACATTCACATCCCAAGCCCTGGTTAGGTCCGGGGACCCAGACAGCTGCACACCTAATCCAAAATCCCCTCCCGGAGGGCACCGGGGCTAGGGTGGAGTCCTGAGTTCTTGGACTGGGCCTGGAGCTGGGCAGGGCAAGGACCACCCCCGCCAAGGACCTAATGTAGCGCCTCCACGTCTCGCCTCCAAACTTCTCTACATGCAGCCCTCTGCCTGGTCCTGGAGGCTGTGACTCCACTAGAGAGGAGGTGAGCTTCCCTGGGCCCAGGGAAGATGCCAGTGATGGTTTGTAATAATACCAAATGCTTCTGTGCAGCACTTGCTGTGCAAGCACTGGCCCCGGCATATTCACTGGGTTCACCCTCACCTACCTCCAGGCAGGGACCGTTATTATCATCCCATGTTAAAGAGGAAGAAGCAGAGGCTCACAGAGGTTAAACACAAGTGCCCGGCTACACAGCCAGGAAGCTGGTGGGAACCACCACGAGCACTGCCTCAGTGTGCATCTGTGGGTGTGAGCGTGGGTGTGGGTGTGGGTGTGGGTGTGGGTGTTTCCGGAGGTTCCCAGCAGGGCTTTCCTCTCTCTACTCTTCCCCCTCCAATCCCTTCCTGCTCCACCCATTCGCTCCTTCACTCAACCCTCTTCTGGCTTCATCCCCAGGAACAAGGATGTGGGGTCTCCAACCCATATCTCCCCACTAAGTGCAGACATGTACATGCAACTCCCTAGCAGCCCTGAAGCTCCTCCAAGGTCAAGAGCAGGCAGCCCCCCTCCTCCCAGCCCTCCTCTTCCACTGGCTTCACATCCACACAGTTCACTGTGGTCTTAGATGCTCACTCACTGCCCACACCAAACAGGGCCAGAGGCCTGGGCTACTGCGTATCTCCCCTCCGTTCCTCCTGGACCACTCTGTGCCGGGATGCAGGCCCGGCTCGCTCCATCACTCACCCCTGCAGGAGTCTCTTCCCCTCCAGCCTGCCAACAGCTTCTACACTGCCAGCTGCCACGGAGCACACAACTTGATCTTGCCTCTCTGTTGCTCGGCGACCTTGGAAGAGGCCTGCCGCTCTGTTCCTGGCATGGCAGAGCCAAGTCTGGCCTGATTCCCAGTGACCTTTCAGTCTCTGTTTGAGATCCCAGGTGCAGTTCTGCCTGCCACCTACCTAAATGTCCTTCCAGTGGGATCAATCCTATCTGACCCTCAAGGAACACCCAACTAAAACATCACCCCCTTCATGCGCCTCTGCCCCTCCCCCATCAGAATGAACACCGTTTTCTCTGTATTCCTCCAGCATTACATTCGTGACAATAATGATGACAGCCACCACTAACATGTATCATGTCCAGGTACTGTTCTAAGACTTTACACCCAGTACCTCATTTAACCCTCACAACGACTCTAGGACGTAGGTGCTGCTGTTAGTGTTCCCATTTTGCAGACAGGGAAACTGAGGGGCCGAGAAGCTGAGTGTCTTGCCCAGGTGGATTTGAAAACTGCACTGACTGCACCATATTAGAGTTAAGTTTGTCTCCGTCCTGCTGAGGACTGAGGTCATGTCTCTTTCATCTTCGTGTCCCCTAAAACACCACATATCTTGCCTGCAAGAATGGGAGTGAGCAGGGAAGAAAGTGGGGGATTTTCTTCCAGCCAGTGACATCCCCTGGGCCCTGGGGGAAGAGGAAGGAGGGGGCTGTCCCTATGGTCCCTGCCCTGAGGAGCCCCTGGTTGGAGGAGCAGAGTCTCCTGGCCCAGGACAGTCTGGGCTCAGAGTGGGTGTGACAATTGTCCATGACTCTGTGTGTGCCTGTGTGTGTGTGGGGGGGGTGCGTGCACACATGTGCATGAGTGTGGGTTTGGATACAGGAGCCCAGTCATACCAGAGCCTGGTGGTCACTGCAGC